TTTAGAACAATGCTTTAAAATGGTTACCGAAGGTCCAGTAACCCCTGAGAAACCTGAGAGGTACTTTGAGGGAAAAGGCCTTTTATATAGAAAGATCTTAATGAATCCCTGGAGGGAAGGGGAGAGCGGTCATAAACTACTAATAATCCCTTGTAAATACAGACAGAAAATAATGGGAAAAGGACACGCAGAAACCTTTTCTGGGCATTTAGGGATTACAAGAACTAAGGAAAGAATATCTCAGAATTTCTACTGGCCAAAAATGGGAAAGCAGATAAAAGCATTTTGTCAGAGCTGTGACATATGTCAAAGGCAAGGAAATAGTAATGATAAACCCAATAGTGATGAAAAGAATAGTGATAGTTACAATAATTATATTGTAAAAGTTAATTTTAATCAACTGACCCATGAACACAGAGAGATATTGGTAGTTGAAAAAGGGGGCTGGAATGAGATGAAACAGGTTAAGAGTAGTTTCATATATACAAACTCAAAAGGAAGTCAGGGAACACCAAATACAAAAATAGAAGAAAATTGGGAGGAACTAAAGGGGGAGCAAGATCCTGAAACAGTAATTCAATACATAGATAATTTAAGGAACACTTTGCAGAAATCCCTAGATTGCAGCAGAAAATTTACAGGGCCAGCAACAGAAACAGAAATTATGGTGTGACAGAAAAGCCAGAGAGAGAACATTCAACCCTGGAGATGAGGATCTTATGCTAAGACCCATCAAAGGGAATAAGTTGCAAATAGATTGGGCAGGTCCGTACAGAATAATCTCCAAAATGAATGAAATAAATTATATAATCCAGGAGAAGGGAGAACCAGGGTGACAAGTGGTTCACATAAACATAATAAAGCAAGATTATAGAAGGGAAAACGTTGTCCTATTTGCTAGGAAAGAAGCTAACAATGAAAGATATGAATTACACTATTGGGAAGGGAGGGGTGAACCCAAATATAACCCTGAAGATGTCCAAGTCAGTCCCTTACTTTCCCTAGAGAGACAAAAAGAAGCAAGAGCCTTTCTGATGAGACACAGGCAGGTCTTCTCAAACAAACCAGGGGTAGCAAAGGGAGTAGTGCGCAGAAGTGATACCGGAGGTGCAACTCAAAGTGTATAACAAAGTTCAGTGAAATAGCTGTCCCTATATGTGACCTGACACATGAAAAGAAAGATGAAAATATCCAAGGGACGAGCAATTGCGAGGAGGCCTTCGGGACGCGGAAGGAGGCGTTGATGGCCGGCCAGGTCGTGAGAGGTTTAGAGTTCCAGAAGGACTTCACCATCCACAATGATGTGTCCAGATTCGAACATGTAGCCATGCTGAACCAGTTTCCTTTATGAGGGCCAAATAAATACTGTAGGGGCAATAAAGGGTAGATCACCACAAGGTCTTTAAAGATATTAACCCACAGTGGGTAGAATGTTATATCTTGCAATATTCCAACAATTTGATCTTCCCCTTTTCCTGCCTTCAACTTTTCTTAGCATTATGATTTTCTCCAGCAAATATTGCCTTTTGATGTTGTGCCAAAAGTACGACAGCCTTGGTCTCATCATTTTTGCTTTCAGAGAAAATTCAAAGTTAACAAAACTGGTTTCATCATTTTTCCTTTCAGAGAAAATTCAAAGTTAACAAAACTGAGGCCGTCATATTTTGGTCACCTACTTTAGATGACCTCAATCTTTAGCTGGCTATCTGAAAGATAACACAATTTTTAAATTGTGTTTTAGTTCCAAAATTTTGATCCTACACAGCCTCTCTTTCACAAAATTCTTGTTGTGAAGTTTATATTTGTTTCACCAAAATTCAAACATTTAGTCTTATTATATAGACAAGATTGTTTTGTTTAATAGCAAATTTTAAAATTTGACAGCACTATGGTCAATGGGCCCATGTAATTTGAGAACATGTACATTCTATGCTTAATACTGCACACCTGCAAGTTTATGAATATATCAAGGTAAGTTTCCTGTTAACATTTCCACAATAACAAATTCAAAGGCACAATCAGAGAATGCTAAGGATACCCATGATGAAAACTGAATTAGAATCTTTGAATGTATGAAGTAAGTACAGTATGTGGCAAGAAATGAGCTGTTTCTGTACAGTCTGTCGTGAGATCAGTAAATGTTTGGAGGAGAACCCTATCAATTGCTTCTAGGCCCCCAGAAAGCATTTGGTTGGTATTTCTGGTTTACAGAATACTGCAACACTATTCGAGCAAGGGCTATGTTTATTTTCTTGACAGAGAAATGTATATGGAAATTAAATGTATGACTTAGTAATCAAAGCCTGGCACAAAGGGCAGTATCCATTCAGAACAAAGAACTGAATGGCAAAAGAAAAACTGGACTTGAGGAAATCTTTCATTCTGTTCTGTTCACAAGCGTTCATCTTTTTGTATAGATGACGGTGTTGAAGACAAGAGTAAGTTTTGCTGTATAACATAGTAAATGAAATTTCAGTAGCCTCTGGGTTTCATCATGCATACTTCTTCAGGGTGAAATAAAAATCACTTTCCCCTCATATTTAGCCATGAATAAAATTTTTTTAAAGAAGCTTGAGATTCACCACTTATACAGAATACAGGCCTACTACAGCCTAAGGGAATTAATTGATACACACATTGCAGCACTTATGTGGGAAAAATTCCCAACAAGAATCATCAGTGTGTGCCAGACGGCAAAGTAATCCTGTCTACACTTTGTAAGGTATGGTCTTACCATTGGAAACTCACAGAGTATTTTCTAATATATTTAAATGCTGCATGATCTGTTCTACTAATAAAAACAATCCCTCTTTTTTTTACATTCTCATTAATAGTCTCAGAACGAAAATATAAAAGTAGTAATTTCAATATATAACTGAAGATTATTTGTACAAACCAACTTCTACACCTGGTTCCTATCCAGGTCTCCTGAGCAGAGAAGACTAGGGAAGCCAGAAAGGAAAAACAAGTTCAGTACTGAAAGCCAGAAAGGAAAAACAAATTTTAATAAAATTGTATTTGTGCTTTTTTTTTTGGGGGGGGGGAACCTAACAGGAAAAAAAACTGCTATTAAAAAGGTATATAAGATAATGGATCTTTTAAAAATGTTGTTTTGGAATATTTTTTAAACTTCTTACCAGAAGCACACATTGGCTGAAATCTTGTTGCTTAACATAACAGGTTGCACTAGAGTAGACCCACTGAATCAGTGAAGATTTAGTGAGTCAACTGTTCCATAAGATCCATTGATTTAAATGGGCCTACCCTTGTAATGAGGGCGAAAGAGGAGAGTGCAAAATAGTCTGAAGCTCAACATCAAAAAAACTAAGATCATGGCCACTGGTCCCATCACCTCCTGGCAAATAGAAGGGGAAGATATGGAGGCAGTGACAGATTTTATTTTCCTGGGCTCCATGATCACTGCAGATGGTGACAGCAGCCACAAAATTAAAAGACCCCTGCTTCTTGGGAGGAAAGCAATGATAAACCTCAACAGCATCTTAAAAAGCAGAGACATCACCTTGCCAACAAAAGTCCGAATAGTCAAAGCTATGGTTTATCCTGTAGTGATGTATGGAAGTGAGAGGTGAACCATAAAGAAAGCTGACCGCTGAAGAATTGATGCTTTTGAATTGTGGTGCTGGAGGAGGATCTTGAGAGTCCTCTGGATTGCAAGGAGAACAAACTTATCCATTCTAAAGGAAATCAACCCTGAGTGCTCACTGGAAGGACAGATCCTAAAGCTGAGGCTCCAATACTTTGTCCATTTCATGAGAAGAATCCCTGGAAAAGATGCTGATGTTAGGAAAGTGTGAAGGCAGGAGGAGCAGGGGACGGCAGAGGACGGGATGGATGGACAGTGTCATTAAAACGACCAACATGAATTTGACCCAACTCCGGCAAGCAGTGGAAGACAGGAGGGCCTGGTGTGCTCTGGTCCATGGGGTCACGAAAAGTCGGACATGACTATACGACTAAACAACAATACACTGTACTTGTGACTTCCTATATTAGAGTAAGCCTATTTGAATCCATGGAACTTATAGAAGAGCTGACTCGCTAAATCCCACTGATTCAATGGGCCTACTAAAGTGCAACTTAGTACAATAAGCAACAGAATTTTAGCCAGTGTCTTGTTAAGCTGATACATAGCAAGTTATTTTACTCATAAAATTAACGATCTTTTCAAATGGTCCGTAATCTTTTAGGTGATAAAAGTGCTTCATTTATTATATAACCAGTTAATGCATCCTTAAAGCATGTGCTCTCTACATACAGAGAGGGGAGTACAGTAGCTCCCCTCCTTCACTGTCCTAAGACAAGCAGCCCCTGCATCTGTGGAAGTGCTCCCCATGAGCCCGAGCCCATGGTTTTTTTAATCTTTTAGTTCACATGGGGAGCCTAAACACATACAGTTATTATCCAGTTTTACAAGAGGTAGCCATGTTAGGCTGTGCAAGCATATCAGGCAAAATCCAAAGAAACAAAACAAAACAAGGACAAAAATATGTAAAGACTTATATTTTAATGTGAGCTTTCGTGGATCACAACCACTTCCTTCAGACATATGAGGGGGGGAATGAAATACGGAAATCACAAGTGGATGTGACTGACTCACGAAAGCTCACATTAAAATATACGTTTTGTCCTTTTTTTGGTTTTGCTTTGTTTCTTTGGATTTTGCCTGACATGCTCTTCTATAACTGCAGTCTTTTTGTGCTGAAAGCTATTGCTCTCCTCTCATCTCATGTGGAGAATACACACTTTATGAATGCCTGTAAGTAATAGGCCCAGGTTTTAAACAGATTTCAGTTAGGGCTTTTACAGGCATTTCAGCAATATGGCTAACAGACACCTCTCCACACTACTTGGGTTTTATTCTTGTTCTGTATGCATACTTGTGATTCCCAGTGTGGTGCAGCGGATAGAGTGATTGAACAGGATTCTGGAGAACAGGGTTCGAATCTCCACTCAGCCACAGAAACTGACTAGGAAAATGGAACTGTACAAAACACTCAAATATCTCACTTACTTTGAAAGCTCTATTAGGGTTGCTATAAGTTGATTTTGACTTGATGGCACATAACATACATGTATACTTAGGATGGCAATTTAATAGATCCTCACTTGCTGAAGACTACCGCATCTAGGCTAACGCCGAGAACCCACACATCAGAACACATCAACAATTAAAGTGTAAGGAGTTCTTGTAACTACCATTTTCAGACTGTAGTTGCTAACATTTGTTTATTATGTTTATCAACTTCCTCTGCCTTGACAAACCGGAAACAGTCAGAAAACTATGTAAAATATACTCTAAAATATCCAGAACAAATCATAGTAGATATACACATATAAACAGGAATGCATACCAATAACAAAATGGTTTCCAAATCTCGTTTCAAAGCTAACTGCAGTCCCCCTATTCTGTATCTATTCTGTAACTCTTGTGTTCTGTCTCATTGGTGGAATGAAAAGCACCTGAAGAAGTGTTTTTGCAGCTTCATGAATTTTCTTCCTGTCTCCATCCTGTTGTCTTTTCAGCTCCATCTTCAGTCTTGCTTCTTGCTTTTTGAGATCATTGATTAAATCTGCTGCTGTGATTTTTTCATTAATTAACTTGTTGGACTCTGCTGATCTGACTGATTTTGTTTTGTTGGCCTTGCAAAATTTGTCTTTAAATATAAGTCTGTACGGACCATGTGTTTTATTGATTCTGTGAGCACTATTATGGCATTTAAGATTAGACAGTTTCAGATCCAAAGACGTTTGTGCTTCTTTCAAAGACTTGCAGAAATCCCTTTCTCCAAGTTGTTCTAGCTCTTCTTTTCTGATCTGTGAAGAGGAAATAAAAATTAGGTGACAAAATAGGTTGTTGAAGAGCAGGAATGAAATAGATCCTCACTGTCTGGAAAAGCTAAACAGAACCCCTTTGAAAAAATAACATCTGAGCTTTCTTTTGGTTGATCACTGACAGACATTATTAGAGATGGGTTTTTTTTGGAGTTTATTTAATTCCATCTCCCAAAACTCCCCAAGAATTCCCCAGACAAAATTCTGAGAGGTGCAGCCAGAATCATAAGTCTACAGACCAGCATTCCTTTCCCCCACTGATGCCTTTTTTTTGTCTGTATTTACTTTCAAAAACAAGGACGCTGCCCCAATGCTTCTGTGGAGGTGAAGACTTGCTGCCTGTAGAGGACACCTCCCAAAGAATGTAACTAGGTTGGTAAGCAATGCATGATATTAAGCTCATATGAGCCTGTGAAGAAAATGAGGAAATGGGAAGCATGGAACATAGAATACATCTGTTAAAAGCTTTGAGGCTGTTTGGACTTCGAGTGCCTCAGAAGCTGGTCAAGAAAGTGGAGATCGGTATCTGCTATGTACAAAAGGACAATTCACACTTTCAATTAACCTCCTGCTAAAGAAGACTTCAAAGGATACTCCCAAGCAATGCCAAAACGGATTTGACACTTCCATGCTCTCAGAAGCTGGTCAAGAAAGTGGAGATCTGTATCTATGTACAAAAGGACAATTCACACTTTCAATTAACCTCCTGCTAAAGAAGACTTCAAAGGATACTTCCAAGCAATGCCAAAAGGGATTTGACACTTCCATGCTTCTCTCTTATCTGATGGGACATAAAAAGCTAGTCCAATTCCTTCCCATGAATCATGCAAATTTAAGCTGTGGAAAAGAGGGGAAGACGACATTTGTTTTGGGGGAACATGAAAGAGGCTTAAGATATTGATTACAACAGGTAGGGCTCATTGATTATATAAAAGGATTAGGAAACTAATGGCTCAATCTTACTTAGAAGGAGAAGACTTTGTTTGCTGTTCTATGAAGCCATGCTAGGAATGGATACATGCTCAAATCAAGGTGCAGTTTTTAACATTCAGAGCCCTAAATGCTTTGAAGTCTTGTCTTACTTAGAAGGAGAAGACTTTGTCTGTTTGCTGTTCTATGAAGCCATGCTAGGAATGGATACATGCCCAAATCAAGGTGCTGTTTTTAACATTCAGAGCCCTAAATGCCTTGAAGTCTTGTTATGAACCTGTCTCAAAGTTAGATTTTTAAGGCGAGACCCTCTTGAAATTACTAAGAACTGCTGTGGTTTGTCTTGCAGGCATACAGAAGGTGTGCTCTAGCTTTGCTCTCAGCTTGTGGAATACGCTAATCAGACCTGCAAAACATTTCTGATTCATACCCTTTTAGAAAGGGTATGAAGATGCATCTTTTAAAACTGTCTTATTTGGGGTGATTTAACCCCAAATGCTTAAAGATATGATTTTAATGGTTTCTATCATCTTGCTTGTTCTTATTTAATTTTCTTGTTGAATCTGTTTACTGTTGTTTGTGTCATGTGTAACAGCTGTAAGCTGCCCTGAGTAGTGGAAATGCAAGTTATCTAGCAGTAGAAAGTTGGGGTAAGAAGTAAATAACAATTATAAATAATAATACCAATGCTAACTCCTACTAGTTGTTAAAACGGGAATCCACACATTTGTCTTCTGAGGAAAAGCAACAATTCCTAGAACAGAATACGATTTTTATAGCCTTTTAGCTTCTACTGCAAGTACCAGCTGAAAACTAAAATATGTAGCAAAGAGAGAGCCATTTATATCCTCATTTACAGGATATAATGTGAATATTTTCTTCGCTTTCCTGCACAGAAAGGTGAGATCAAGCTGAGACAGGACTCATAAATCATACACTAATAACAATTAAAGCTTTGTATTCAACCAAACTGGATTTCTAGTATGCTTCCAAATTAAGTTTTACCTTTTCACAGCAACTCACTTTCTTGTACGTTGCAAGCTCATGCAGCTCATTACACAGAATTAAGAGCTCTTGGGTGCATCTATCAAGCTCTTCAATAGTTCTGCTAATGCCACAATAACACAAATCTCCACTTGGAAAATGAGTATTCTTAATATGTATGTCATGTGGTTCTACATCATCTCTTTCAGGATCTAAAACGGTCTCCTGTGAAATAGGGGGAAGTAATTTCTAAGTTTAATGAACTTTTCATAACATTTTATCATAATTCGAAGAATAAACATCCTAGAAAATAATATGCTGAAACAAGCACAGTAAGTTTGCATCCAGCATTAGAGATTGGCATGAACCACAGCAGTTTGGCCCAGTTTGGTGCCGCACTTGGCACAAGTATTCTGTGGGTGTGCCACACTCCCACCTCCTCTGCACACTCCCCCATTCCCTGGGAAATGCACTTCCATTCCTGACTCCTCAGAGCAATCATTCACTTACCCATTGCAGTGCACACTTAATTCCTGCAACGGCTGCCCACTCAGACAAGAAGACAGGGCAAGGAATCCTGCACTGCTTCCTTTGAGTGGGCAGTTGTGCTGAGGAGGTGGGAGATGGAAGTGCACATCGCTCGGGGAATGGGCGAGCGTGCAGACGAGGTGGGACAGGAGAGTGCACTGTTCCTGCAGTTTGTGCCCATCTCTATTCAATCATCTTTCATTTCTTGAGTGACACAATTTCTATTTTTAGAGAATACTGGAAAACAACTTCTTCCCAGCAACAGTACTTGCAAATAATTAACACAATTTTGAGAGAAAATAATTTGATTCCAAAATAGATGTGCCTTATACATACCAATCACAGCATGGAGTCCAACTAATATTGCCCAACAGTATCTTAGAATTAGATACAGCTGTCCCAAAGGCAGCATCCCTTTGCAATCTGGTGCACAGTTGGTAATGTTGGATAAACACTTCGCCAGATCCAAGATCAGCATAAGCCTGATAAGGTAATGTGTTTTAAGAATGCCATGGGCCTGTTTATGGCACTAATGGAATAATTTTTGGGTTGTTTTGAAAAGGCTGTCTTGGGCAGTTGATATGCCCAAGTGATTGCCTGAAGTACCCATCTGGCAAATCTCTGAGAGGAAACAGCCTGTTCATTTTTAGGTCTAGAACAATGGTTCCCAACCTTGGTTAACCCAGATGTTCTTGGACTGCAACTCCCAGAAACCCCAGCCAGAACAACTAGTGGTGAAGGGTTCTAGGAGTTGCAGTATAAGAACACCTGGGCTATACAAAGTTGGGAGCTACTAGTCTAGAGTATGCCACAAAAGACTGAATTGAGGCATTTTCTGAATATATAATGTCAACTCTCTTCTTCTCCAACCCAGGGATCTGAACTCATTCAAAGTAATAAGGTAGTCCTTGACTTTTTTGTTTATCACTCTCAATTAATCTCAATCCTATATCCTTTCTTGTACTTCACATTCGCACAGTTTTTTATCACTCTCAATTAATCTCAATCCCATATCCTTTCTTGTACTTCACATTCGCACAGAGAAGCATACACTTTTAGGAAGACCTGACGTAGGAATTGAGCACTCCTGCCTTTTCTTCAACATCTGTTATCATTTCCCCATCCCCACTGAGTAGCTGAGCCACTGTTTCTTTTCTGTCTTTTGCTACACATATACCTGAAGAAGGCTTTTTTGCTGCTTTTAACATCTCTTGCAGACCTCAGCTCATGTTCAGCTTTTGCCTTCCTAACGCCATCCCTGTATTCGTTTTCTGTACTCTTCCTTTGTCGCCTGGCCTTCCTTCTTCTTCCTATATGTGTCCTTTTTCTGTTTTTAGATCCTCTTTGAGCTTTTTGTGCAGCCACATTAGTCTTTTTGGCCATCTTCCACTTTTTTTTCCTTGCTGGAATTATTTGTAGTTATGCCTTTAGAACTTCCTTTTTTAGAAATTCCCAGCTATCTTGGACTCCTTTTTCTGTTAGGATCTCGGCCATGGGACATTTCTTATCCTTGTTCTGAGATTATTAAAAAGCTGTGGTAGAATTATAAGTAGCAATCTGTAAAACTGAACTGCTGACCAGAGAAAGGAATGTCTTACTTTAACATACTTTATTATTATGACCATAGATCAACCATAGGTCATAGGAACACAAGATTAAAATATTAGAAGATAGTGTTAAGCAACAAAGGCAAATGTAAGGCACAACTATATTGGGAAGCCAAATCAGAGCAATTCAGCTTTGATGTGATTTGATTCAAATCCTGTATTATGTTTGAAATCAGAGTTAGTTTTCCAATAGGGGCTGCAGATTGATTCAGGAGTTGACTGTTCATATTGGATGTGATGCAATTCACATTTCAGCTCACAACCTCCCTCCTTCCCTTTCTTCCTTCCTCTGGTCCTTCCTCTGTCAATTCTTTTATGGGGTATAAATACAGGAAATAATGATGATAACCAAGTGATATGGTGATAGGGTGATCCAGCTCTAAGCTCATATAAGTAAGAAATAAAAACAATTAGAGATGAATCAGAGAGGAATGAATGTGGAGGCATGTTCCCTTGGCCCAAACATCATGCCCCAACTGCCTATTGTCACTGAAACACTACATAATACGTATCTGTATCTCCTCATCTTTACAAGAACGTATCATATCTAACCAAACACAAAAAAGCCAATCTGAATCATTCTGGCTTGAAAAAATGCAAGTAACCAAGTGGCAGGAAAAAAAGGTTGACCGATTCAAATCAGCCTTTGTGTCATGTGGTCAGTAAAAAACAAAACAAAACAAAAACAACCATTCTGAATTCATCTGTTTATAAGCAGAGCAACTTTTTCAGTGTTTGACCATGTAGTTGCAATCTAAAGCTACTTTCTTTCAATTGGAACATCTAATCCAAAAAAGAGTGAGATTTCAATTAGGAAACACAGATAAAGAGCTTCTGTGTTATAACAAAAACATTCGATCTGAGGGCTACATATTTTCTGTACCACTCATGCAGGCAGACAACTGAATAACCAAAGCAAGGTTGTTTATAAAAAACAAGCAAACTGTAAGGTATGCTTTGAAAGTGTGATACAAGCTGTAAGTGATGGCTGCATTGCAGCCTTTACATCTTCGTCAGCAGAGGCAACAGATCATCCAGTGGGAAGTCTCAATAGCCCCATATCTTGTAGTGTTCCCTTAGGTCCATTGCACATTACCTAGTTTTTCTTGTGCAGAAAATAAAATTATTCCCAACAATTATTTTCTCCATCCCTTTCCAGAGAAGTATTAATTGAGCCATACCATCCACTGCCAATAAACATGTTCCATCGTCTTCCATTTCAGAAAGGATTCCAGCCGAGAGCTCTCAGATTCTATACACTGTAAAAGCTGGGGGTGGGGTGGGAGAGTTTCATTTTTAATATTACAGAAAGGTATCTAGTGCCTGCAGGTGACTAGCAATTAAAACCAACAATAAAACACAATGAATTATTGCAATGTGACTGAAAGTGATATGTCCTCACCCAGCATGGACAGACAGGATTCTGCATTAGAGTAGTCTGAATTCTGTGCAGTAGCCCCAAGGTATGAAGCATGACTTTTTAAGCAAGTAATTTCATATGAATACAGTGGTGCCTCACATTACAACGTTAATTCATTCCAGCGAAATCGCTATAGAACGAAAAAGTTGTAAAGCGAAATGAAAACGGCCATAGAAATGCATTAAAACCCGTTTAATACGTTCCGATGGGCTGGAAACTCACCGTCCAGTGAAGATCCTCCATAGGGCAGCCATTTTCGCTGCCTGTGCAGTGAGGAATCCGTCCCAGAAAATAGTGGGGGGACATTTTGTTTACCCGGAAGCCATTTTGAAACTGCCAATCAGCTGTCCGAAAATCATCATTTTGCGAAGAATCGGTTCCCGAAGCAGGGAACTGATCATCGCAAAGCAAAATTCCCCCATAGGAAACATCGTAAACCGATCACAAAAGCGATCGCAAAAAGTTCATCGTAATGCGGTTTCGTCGTTAAACGGAGCGATCATAAAGCGAGGCACCACTGTACTAATAACATGTCCAATAACACTGTGCATTTCTGTAGAGCTTATGAATACTTATACCTGATCACAGTAATTCCAGGGACATCACTCAAGGGAAAAATATCAGTTACATAAAAACAAAACAAAACCAAAACCCTGTATTTTGGCAAAGACTGCAAATCACAACCAGAAGGCTATATAGATAAACAATAAAGAGGATGCAGGTTTCCAGTGAATGTGATATTGGGGAGAAACATGGGGCTTGGCCTCTTCCTGAAGAAACTTCTAAAGCAAGTCAAAAACATCCTCTTTCCAGCACATACTTGTCAACTGATAAATGACAGCTCTGTTCTTGTCTACTTTTATTGGTTGCCTGACAGTTCCTATTCTTAATATTTTAATTCTAACACGCTTAATTGTGACACCCAGTGTGGTGAGGTGGATAGAGTGATGGACTAGGACTCAAGAGGCCTGGGTTCAAAACCCACTCAGCCACAGAAACCCATTGGGGATGTGGAACTCATAGAGCCACGCCTTTAATAACTTACTTACCTTGAAAACTCTATTAGGCTTGCTATACCAGTTGCTCTGTGGCTGCAGCACTTGCTGCCTGATTGAAACATTGAGTTCCATATGTCATTTGGGGTAGTCCTTGCTTCAACTTGAAAGGAATGGGTGGTTTTGCAGCAGAAAACCACACTGCACCTCACTAAGCTAGGTATCTGCTTTCTATGCATTTCGCTCATAAAGCATCTTGTCTCTTTAGCAACGCCATTTATATTTGGAGAATATTTTGAGAAAGAACGGATTGTTGTTTTTAAGCTGCTATCCTGGTGGAACTCATAGAGCCACGCCTTTAATAACTTACTTACCTTGAAAACTCTATTAGGGTCGCTATACGTTGGTTCTGGCTTGACGGCATGTAACAACAAAGCTCTGTCAACTGTTGGGAAAGACCACTGTCTTGTAACTTGACTTTGCTATCCAATGCATAGTGGAGAAAGTGATGGAGTAGGACTCAGGAGACTTGGGTTCCTGCTCAGCCACAGAAATTTACTGGGGCGATGGCATTAGTAAAACTATTCCTTAAATATCTTATATACCTTGAAAGCCTATTAGGGTTACTCAAGTAAGTTCCAACTTAACAGCACATAACACACACAACATAGACCTGACTGACAAAAGTCACTAGAACATTTACATTAGCATTAAGTTACCTTCAGCAGAAACATCATTGTTTTTTAGGCTACATTATATTTGGAATTTATGTATTTGTGGTCCAACATTGTCATCTGGTACGATAAATTATGCCAATGTTATGATTAAAACTCATTAATTTACTCACACTACACTACAATTTTACCGATGACATTACATGTTATCAGTACCACATGCCTTCTATTTCCTTGATTTTTCTGCACACCTTAAAGAAGCCATGTATCTTGTCTGAATTTCCTACTTTCGTATGTTGTTTGGACCGCTATTTTTTTTTTGGCTTTTCTACTTTTGTTTCAGATGATCTTTCGTAAACAGTTTGCATGTAATGTTGCCTTTAATTTCTAATTATATCTCTCTTCAATTTGCTATGATATTTCTCTGTTATCCACGCTTCTTTTCTTATAACCACTGCGCCACTACACTACAATTTTACCGATGACATTACATGTTATCAGTACCACATGCCTTCTATTTCCTTGATTTTTCTGCACACCTTAAAGAAGCCATGTATCTTGTCTGAATTTCCTACTTTCGTATGTTGTTTGGACCGCTATTTTTTTTTTGGCTTTTCTACTTTTGTTTCAGATGATCTTTCGTAAACAGTTTGCATGTAATGTTGCCTTTAATTTCTAATTATATCTCTCTTCAATTTGCTATGATATTTCTCTGTTATCCACGCTTCTTTTCTTTACATTTCAACTTCTGAGGTAGTCAATAATATCTACTAACAGCTGTTTCATTTTAGAGCAAGTAGAATTTATATCTGAGCAATTTAAGGGCAGTCTTACTGATGTCCTCATGAATCCCCTCCTTAACAATAATATATACATCAAGATCAGTTAAGGCCTGTTCTTTCATTATGAAAACATCTGGACTACATACACAATGAGAGGAGTTTACAAACCACATTCTTTCCATGTTTGCTTCAAGGCCAAGGTGTCTGGTGTATCTAAATGTCTGTTTCCACTGAAATAATTAAGTTTGCTAGCATGAAAAGAAGCAAAGGTTATCATTTCTCCCTTTTCTAGTTAGTTATGTGCCATCAAGTTGGAATTGACTTATAGCAACTCTAATAGGGCTTTCAAGGTAAGAGAGCTATTTAAGGAGTGGTTCTACCAGTTCCCTTCAGTCTGTTTCCGTGGCTGAGCAGGGATTCAAACCCAGGCCTCCTGAATCCTAATTCATCAGTCTATTCACTACATCCTGGGTATCATCTCTAGCTGTTCACAATGAACCAGCGCATGAACTGTGTTCAGACTCTTTCAGAAAACTGGTGCAAAATGGAAAGGCATTCTATATGAAAAGCTGAGAGATAGTATACTATTCAAAAAGTATCATACTAACTGAACTAACATTGCTTATTGCCACCTAAATATCACATTAACTCACACTTCTTACATATACAATGCTTTCAGATTGAATGATGAGCTGTAATAGCAAGCTACTACAACCATCTATAAGCAATAAGCATATCAAAGTAGAGATACCTGGAAACATCATATGCTGCAATATTTCCTAATTTTCTGTCTACAGATGTTTTAGATTTGAATTCCCAAAATACCCAAATTAGGGATTTTGGGGGTTGAACATCTGAGGAACCACTGATGCACTGTATCTGTCAAAGAATAATGTAGATGACTACACAGTCTAGGGATTTGTGGACATTCTGATGAATTAGTTTCATTCTTCTAACAACTAAGACTACTATGTGTTTGGTCAAAGAAGTACATGAAGCAGTAACTCTTTCCTGAAATCTTCCTTTAAAAACAACCTGCTCTTTTAACTGAGAGCAACTATTAATCCTCTTTTGGTTGTGTAAAATGCTCACCATGGGCTTATTTAGGTGATATATGACCACTAAGGGTGTAGTTCAAGATAAAAATGATGCAAACCTCACTTGAACATTATTAAATATTACTAGAAGACTCCCAGGGATTCCCAAATAGACACCAAATGGAAGTGCATGCTGTCTAGTTTTTTAAAAAAATAATATATAAAGAAATATATTAATATTAAAAGTTACATGAACAAAAATAATCTTCCTAAAGCAGGAACTGAAAATCTTGGTAGCTGGTAGATTAGAGAATTCTAAAGCACTCGCATCTACTTCCAAATAGCTTGGATATAAAATACCATGGTTGGACTGGTGCATGAAGCTAATTAACACTACAAAAAGAGGAGCTTCTGCAATCAGAGGAATGCATGTGCATTCTGTCTGGACACAGGGCAACTTTCATCTGATCATCAATCCCCTACATTGCTGACCACTGTGTAGCAAGTCAGCAAATCTTTCCACTGAACAGAAATTCCTGAGAACTGTCATCTAACTCAGCAGAAAGTCAACTGGGCTTTGCGTTTATCTTGGCTGACAACACTGCATGCTGAGGGCTGCACTCTGGCCAACTGTGAACAGCCTTGATCCACATATTTTTGTATTTAAGTGATGTGACAGTACAGCAAATGTGACTAGTGTGTCAGAATCGGTAAGAAAAAGTCCACTGACAGGCAGTGGAGATGAAGAACAATGCATGGAAAAGCACTGCGAGAAACACCTTCCCAGTAAGCATTCTGAAGCGAAGTCAACAAAAGTTTTCCCTCTAGGAGGCAATTAGTACTATTATACTATGGTAGAGAAGAACGAGGGCTTCCATATTTTAGGAAATGTTTTTCAGCTAAATGCTATTTCCCCATTTCCAAAACTGCTCTTTTTGACAGGTGTAAAAGTTCTGAGTTTTGGAAATGATTATTAAAAATATGCAATATTCAGTACATAAAATGTGAGTAATGTACCAATTAGTCCACTAGATGGTGGTACAAGATAATAAATAATTCACTTAGAACAACCAGGTGGTCATATAATCCCCAAGATTACACAAGTATAGGAGTGGGTGATACCTTTTAGTGGACCACTAAAAATTGAACAAATCACAAATTCTACTTCCTCAGGCTTAGCACAACTCACCCATGGACAATGCAAAAAAAAAAATGCAAAGGTCCAGAAATTGGTGGTATATGTCTGTAAAATGTGATGCACGTCCTCTTGAGGCTGCTGTCTTGCTTTGTAATTTGGTTGGAATTTTTACACCTCTGCTCTTAAGGCCAAAAGATTGCCAGTTGCTCTGTGGCTGCAGCACTTGCTGCCTGATTGAAACATTGAGTTCCATATGTCATTTGGGGTAGTCCTTGCTTCAACTTGAAAGGAATGGGTGGTTTTGCAGCAGAAAACCACACTGCACCTCACTAAGCTAGGTATCTGCTTTCTATGCATTTCGCTCATAAAGCATCTTGTCTCTTTAGCAACGCCATTTATATTTGGAGAATATTTTGAGAAAGAACGGATTGTTGTTTTTAAGCTGCTATCCTGGTGAAACCAGTAATCCTTTTAAGGTTACAATTGCTCTGGTAAGCAGGTGATGTTCTGAGAATGCACTAATGTTTCAGGAAAAAAAATACTAGGAAAAAAATGGACACCTGATACACTAGCAAGACAGCAAGAATTTTATACTTCCTGATGCAATACTTTAAACTGCTTTCTCCTTTGGAAACTAAGCTCAAGATAAATATGGTGAACTGACCTCAATTTTATAGAGCTCTAAGACCCAGTCCAAGTATCAAACTGTTTAGCTTGACACAATAAAACAGCTAATTATCTGAAACTAATGCCCAGAATAGGGGAATTCTGATCAATTTAGACTTCTAAACCCAACTTTTTATTATATTATAGGCTCTTTATGATTAAAATGACTCCTGGCTTATTTGCTTTACTTACCAGAAATGCTGCAAGCTATTCTGCAATAATAATTTTAATGACGGGCAAATTTTACGCATAAAACTCTGCTAAAGAGAGACTTTGAGAGTTAATTGTGCTAAAATTAAACCTGGGGTTGAAATTCAGATGCAACTAGATCGGCAAATTAGATCAGGCTAGATTAGGCTAAACGGGGTCACTTTGAGGTATGGTATGTCATTCGGGGCAGTTCTTGCTTCCACTTGGAAGGATTGCACCTCGACCTACCCTATTTAGCCTGTTTCTCCTTTTAAAGGGAAAAAAGGAAGGAAAATAATAATAAAAAGGAGATTTATACTGTATTTTAGAAGTCACACCTAAGTTCAGATGCTGCTTGCTCATTTTATAATAAGTCACAGACAGTCACCTCATGGGAACTGTTCAATGTAATTATTTTTTGGCTTCACCAAAACCAGGCTAAAATCTTTGGGCTGGCTAATTTCAGACACTTCCATAAATCTTGATGGAAAAGAAAAAAGAAAGAAAAAAGTGCAGAGGACTAGAGATGGGAACAAACCGCAGTTCAGTGGTTCAGCCTATTTGGGGCGGCGTCTGTACAAGTGCTCCATGGGTGCCCCTGCACTCCCCTCTACCCCCTCCTCTGGGTGTTCTCCCCATTTTCAGCTGAAGCGTTTCCTCAGTGTCTCCTGGCCTCCCCTGTTTCCTCAGTGTGATTGCCCACTCACTGATCATAGTGTGCTTCCCTCCCCTGCCTCCTTTGGCAGCTGCCCACTTAAATGACATGGCATAAGGTTACAAAAGGACATTAGACTTAAAATGGGTAATTAAGAATTTAAATCTACCTGCACAAAACCAATGATCCCTTGACTGGCAGGTTAATGTGAAGACAGCCCCAGGAAATAGTCACTTGAATTTTTAAAGTTAATTTGATTTTCTGTGGGTTGGATCCAGACTGGCAGACTCATCAATATCAAGGGCCAAAATTTTCCTATGTAATTTAAGCCAGTGCAGAGAAAAATGTGTCAGTTTACTGATAATTAAAGAGTCCCTGCCTTGATTCTGGATCACACAAAACTCATAAGGAATGAGGCAAAGCTGAAGCGCTGGGGTATTGAAGCAGGACTCCTGAATTAGTGGCAATCTGCTGCTGACAGTGACATTACATCCCCTGTGCTGGCATAAGGTATACAAGAAGATTATGATGGGTGGGAAACAGCCACAATTAAGTCTCACTGATTTCAACAGATCTATACCAAGTATGATTATCCACCCTGCTGCTTTGTGCACAGCATGCAGAAAACCAGACAATACCTTGACATCAAGACACTGACTGAGACAATCAGCAAAAGAGATGATCTAACAAAAGATGTCAAGATAAAAACAAAGACAAAACCAGCAATTATTGAAGTCTGGAAATACGGAAGCAAAATGGATCTAGCAAGTTGAAGACTAGGATTCCACAGAAAGAAGTAACAATTCCATTCATATGAAAGGGAGAATGCAATTGTCTCTGCTTAACAATGGTGAACTTTTACAGCCTGAAATCTGAGTGTGCAGCAGTGCGTACCTACAGCAGAAAATCAGATCATAGTTAAACTTATCATGTATGGGAGCATATATATTGCCTTATACTAGCAAATGTGTACAACAGAGATAGGCCCTTCACAGAGGATGACTCCTTTTAAGTGACTCAGAAGGTTGATTCACTTTAGTTTGTGAAGACAGGTTCGGGGAAGCTTTGGCCCTCTAGATTTGTTCTTTGGTTTCTATCATGTCCAACAGTACCAGTTTCAGAGGGTCATGTTGCAAAACATCTGGAAAGCCAAAGGTACTCCATTGCTTTTGTTAGTTCAAGCTTAGCGAGGGCCTCAAGATGGTGGCAGAGTATAGTATCACCAACCTGGAGAGGTATCTTCGTATCTGGCACACAGAAGGATCATTTGGATCACTTTTGGAATCAAGTTAGTAAGCCTCCCATTTCAGTTACCCTCTTGGAAATTATGAGGAAAGATAGCAGTTAAAGTCAGACATACTTTTTTATACAGTTTCTCCACTAAAATGGTATTTAAAATAATATGTCGTAGAAAGAGGATTACCTGTTTATAACTATTTGGTTGTCTTGTAACATCTGCTTCTGTGACTGAGAAATGGCCAATAACAGAGTCACTGTGAGAGCCAATTGTGTATGTATGCACCTGGGGCAGAAATATATAAGTGAGAAATAAAGGTGCATCACCTACCACATTATCAACATGTTTACACAGCTAGTGGTTATTTGAGGCTAGATTTCTAGCAAGCTTAGCAATTTTAACATTTTTCTGCATTCTTTGTTTTCTTATCCATTAGCTGCTGGAAAGAAAATACATGAATGAAAATCAGTGTTTGGGAGCTCAGATTACGATTTTAGCAAAGTTATGTATTTCAGTCTGAAACTCTGTTTTGTGCTATTTGAGCACCTTGCAAAACCCCAAAAATTAACCTTTCACTTTAGGGATGATATGGAGCAACAATTACCTGTTCACTCAGCAAACCAAAATGTCTGCTTCTGAACTTTGTTTGCCAATTCTGGTACACTTGCCAACTGGTTTCAGCTACCTAAGTTGAGATACTAGTCAACTAAACAATCAATCACTAACAACCAACTGTGCAATATTTGACCACAGTGAAATATTCCACCAAGGCAAAAAGGAACATGGACTTAATTAGACCTTTACATTATCTGAAAGTAAGCACAGGAGTGAAAACAGCTTGTTGCACAGTTCTGAAACAGCTTGGGTATAACATGTGACATTTAGAAAAAGATACCATATAGTCCTATGATATAACTATAACCAGTCATATAACTGCGCCTCCCTCCAATATACCTGGTTAATTATCCATTAGTTAATTTCACTTAGATAGTACTCCTACATTCATATGGTATCTCGGAGCTTCTAGAATAATACGGGGGAGAAATCAAGTTATTGAATAGAACTATATAACTATTATCTATAAGTTTAGAGTTTAAGAGTTTTGATAATTAACATTTATGTTCCTTTTTGCTATACTGTACTTGCCGGTGTACAAGATGACTTTTTGGGCCCGAAAAACATGCCTCCAAGTGGGGGGGGGGTCGTCTTGTACACCGGGTGCACTTCATTTGGGCCAGGAAGGAGCTGCCGCCTCCGCCCCTGTTAAGTGATGCGGGGCCGCGCTGGCTGGGGAGGAAGGCAGTCGGGCGGGCAGGCAGTCTGTCCGGATGGAGGGAGGGAAGCAGAGCCGGCCATGCCTGAGCGGCCAGAGCCCGCCGCTGGGCTGCCCGCCGCCACGCGCCGCTGCCCAGCAGCTTCCCCTCTTCCTCGCCCTCTTGCCGCTGAGCAAGCTGCTCGCTCGCCCAGCCACTTCCCCTCTTCCTCGCCGTCTCGCTGCTGAGCAAGCTGCTTGCTCACCCAGCCACTTCCCCTCTTCCTCCTCCTCCTCTTCCTGCCACCGCCCGCCCTCCTCGTCGTTGCCCTCCTTGTCGCTGGCCATGAACTTCCAGGGTGGGCCCGGGCAGAGCCCCAGACAGCTGCCGCCGGCGCCGCAGCAGAGCCGTCCACTCTATATTTTGAGTGGAAATGTTGGGGGGGGGGGCCATCTTATACGGCCAGTCACCTTGTACGCCGGCAAATACGGTAATTATATTCAGTCAGCACCATTAATATATTTAATGAGAATTTGTATAGCAATGCATTACAGCAGTGGTCCCCAACCTTTTCTGAATCGTGGACTGGTTGGAGGGGTGGAGTCCATGCGTTGGGGGTCACCCCCGCGCTTGCGGATGGGTGTAATGCACTCGCTCACACATGCGCAGATGGGCGGGGCACCCGTGCATTTGTGTGGGGAGTGCATGCAGGGGGGGGCAGGAGATCTGTCTCCGCGGCCCAGTCCTGCCAAGGCCACAAACGACCACTGGGCTATGGACTGGGGGTTGGAGACCCCTGCATTACAATTATTTTTTCATGTAAACTCGCATTTGGATTAAATTACACTGCTGATGAAGGAATAGAAGAATGCCTCTAGTGCTTTTTTTTCCTCCTGTGTCGAAATGACTAGATAGGCGGGGTATAAATACAATCAATCAATCAATCAATCAATCAATCAATCAATAAATAAACAAACAACCTGAACAAGGCAAAGGTAAAAAAATACATGTGAGCTCCTAAGTGAGGGAGACATTAAAAAAACCCCGGTTACTTTAATACACATTGTCTGGAATAATATTTAAAATAGGCCAATGACTGTGATCTTAGCAGTTAGTTTGAAAGTCTATGGCATAGATAGTATTTATTTATTTATTGAATTTGTACCCCACCCATTTAGTCAACTGACTACTCTGGGCGGCTAAAAATATATAAAATAGACATTTAAAATATAGATCAAGCAATACAACAATAGACAAGGGCTCAAAATGAGAAAACAAAATAAATCAAGAGGTGGCTGAAGGGAAGGCTTACCTAAATACAGTTGTGCCCCGCTGGATGATTACCCCGCTCTACGATGAATCCGCTTAACATTGAAGTTTTTGCGATCGCTTTTGCGATCACTTCACGATGTTTAGATGGGTTTTTTTCGCTCAGCGATGATCAGTTCCCTGCTTCAGGAACCAATGGAGGATCTTCGCTGGACGAGCAGGTATTCAGCCCACTGGAATGCACTGAACAGTTTTCAATGCGTTTCAATGGGTTTTAAAATTTTCGTTTGACAATGATTTCGCTCTACAGCGATTTCACTGGAACGAATTAACGTCGTCAAGCGAGGCACCACTATAGCCAGGTTTTCAGTTGGCCCTTGAAAATGCCCAGCGAAGGGGCCATACGGATCTCAGAAGGGAGGCTATTCCAAAGGCGAGGAGGAGCCACTGCCGAGAAGGGCCGGTTTCTTGTTTTTTCCTTCCGGGCCTCCCTCGGCGTTAGGCTCCTCAGCCTCACCTCCTGGCTAGATTGAGTGATACGAGTAGATTTGGGTGGGAGGAGGCATTCCATCAGATATCGAGGCACTAAACCGTTTAGGGCTTTATATGTAAGCATTAGAACTTTGAAATCAACGCGGAACCGAACGGGCAGTCAATGTAAGGCAGCCAGGGTGGGGGAGATATGATGTTTCCTCACCCCACTAAGAAGTCTGGCCGCCGCATTCTGCACCATTTGGAGTTTCCACATTGATCTCAAAGGTAGCCCCACGCAGAGAGCATTGCAGTGATCTAACCTCGAGATTACGAGCACATGGACCAGACTGGTGAGCGACACCCCCCATCTAGATAGGGACACAGCTGGGCAATCCTCCACAGATGGAAATAGGCAAGTAATAATAAAGCCTATCCAGTATTGGTCAATAATGGTAAGAGACTGTAGCTTTAGCAAATTAATATTCACAACTATAAAGTTAACAGTGATGGAAAACAATACAAACTTGGGCAAGATAAAGATATTTTATATGCACACAAGTTTGTATTAGAATCAGATTACTCTAATTAGATGAGACTTTGGAGCAAATGTTTTGATTAAATATTTTTAGGTGAACCAAAAAATTACATTAACTCAAAAAACCCTGAAAAAAAGTTCCAAATAACTGATAAATGAGATTGAATCTAACTGGTAGCTGCAGCTAGAGAAGACCTGTAGAATCAATGGGATTTACATAATTGCTGAGTCACCATTCAATAACAGATTCTATGCATCTGCTCCAGCTGTGAATAGCAACTGGATTTAAATTACAGAGAAAATCAGTCACATACTATTTTAGGATAACTATATCAGAAATTCATGCTGTTACCTCAAAACCATGGGAGCCACAGAACTGTGCAATTCATAACTAAGGGTTAATTGTTGTAAGTCGCCCAGAGAACTTTGGGTTGTGTGGGAGGCATATAAGTTAAATAAATAAATAAATAAATAAATAAATAAATAAATAAATAAATAAATAAATAAATAAATAAATAAATAAATGTATGTTACACAAAACAATTAGACAAAAATAAACCAAAAATAAAAAATAAAGAAGGCAAAAATGTGGTGCATTAAAGCGGCTACATTTTATTATGAATTTTTGTGGATAAGTCCACTTCCTCTGACAACGGAAGCTCACATTAAAATATAAAAGTTAGTCTTTAAGGTGCCACAATGTTTTTCTCGTCTTTTCTTTTGTTTTTGCCTGATATTGTAGTACAGATTAACACAGCTACTTCTTCAAAGAAAACAATTAGTTATCCATTAGCTGAATCTGTTTGCTACAGCCCTTACATATACAGTGGTGCCTCTACTTATGAACATCCCTACATATGAACATTTTGACTTACAAACAGCTCCGGTCTCACAATATTGCTTCTACATGCGAACGGAGCTTCCACTTACGAACAGAAAAATGCAGGGGAAAAGGGTGGGAAATTCAAATTTCTAACTGTAGGCAGTGACAAGGTTGCTTCTTTGTAGCTCTTTCGCCCCAGCAGTTAGAGTATGCGATCCGAGGAGGCTGCTTACTAAAGGTAAGGTGCTGCTTTATACTTTTTAAAAACAGTTTTGGGTATTTTTGCAGTGTGGTTTTTGGCTGGGGGGTTATGTTTCTGTGCTGTGATGGGTCTTGGGGGGTTGTTTGTTTTTTAGGTTCCCCCCATTTCTGATGGGGGGTTGGTTGATTTTTTGAGTGTTTTTTCCCATTTTTGATGGGTCTTGGAGGGTTGTTTGCTTTTTTGGTTTTTTTCCCCCATTTTCGATGTGTCTTGCATGCTCCCCTTACTTTTTTGGTTCTTTCTCTTTGCATTTCTGATCTGCTCCATTTGTTTTCTGTGCTATTGCAATTGTTCCTGCATGCTTCCCTTGTAAATCATAAAAGTTTTTGCAAGGGTATGTGCCGACTTGGTTTAAAGTGTGTTGGTGTAAAATGTGTGGGTTTAGCATGTGTTTTCGACTCCAAACGCTCTCCCTCCCCCATTGTCTTCTCTCTCTCTTTCTACTTCCTTTCCTGCCCTTTTTTAAACCTAAGTCATCTTAGGTTTTTTAAAAATTCTCCCCCTAGTGGTAGGGGGCGGATTAACCGGTTTTGCATTAGTTCCTATGGGAACTAATGCTTCGACTTACGAACCGTGCCTTGACATAAGAACAAAAAACAGCCAGAACAAATTATTTGGGTTTCAATGCATTCCTATGGGAAATGCTGATTTGACTTATGAATGTTTTGAGTTACAAACACCATTCCGGAACGGATTAAGTTCGCAAGTCAAGGCACCACTGTACAGACTAAAATCGAGATCGGGGTCTCCAAACTAAGGCCTGTGGGCCACATCTAGCCTGCCTTGCTGGTTTACCCAGCCCGTTCCCTTCGGTCCATGCATGTGTGTGGTGTGCATGTGTGCGCGCACAGCTGCACATGCAAACGTTCCTGTCCCTTCGGCCCTCAAAAATGATGAAAATATCCGGTGTGGTCCTCATGGTCAAAAGTTTGGAGACCCCTGATCTAGATGAATGAAGTCTTTGCCTTGCAGAAGGAAAGGTGTTTGGTTTTTTCAAAAGCATTTCAGCCAGGAGGGCTGAAAAATTTCAGTTATTCAAGGTCATAAAAAGCTATTCAAGTTTTTGGACTACCTACTCACTGCTTTTGAAACCTGAGGAAGATGGAATCAGAAGTGTAACAACACACGTACACTAAGACTCTCCAAAGGAACCTAAAGAAGCTACTGGGGCTGGAGCCAGAAATAGTAATCAGAGAAAGTCAATAGAACAAATAAACCATTTTCCTGCAACTACTTAGTCAAAACTTTGGACTAGGCTGGGAACCAGTTAAAATATGCAGAATTTGTATCAGAATCACAACACTGACTCCAAGTTATAGATACTAGTCAAAAGAAAATGTGCAGAAGAGGAATGGGCAAAGTTCACCTGAGCACTCACCTCACTTCTCAAAATTAAGAACATTTAAAAATAGTTTGAAAAGACCCCCTGTGCCCTTTAAGGGGCATGTGACCTTGACACAATGGGAGACATGAGGATGCTAGGGGCTTAAGATACAGCACTTAACAGCCACAGCGTTAAGCCCCTAGCATCCTGTCTCAAGTTCAAAACCTCATTTTGAACTTCAGACCTTGGGGCACCAGGGGCTTGGTTTTTTTTAAAGCCTTCTTTTAAAAAATTCAGAAGAATATTTTACGGTGAGTGGGGCATGAGAGCAAGTGTGGCACCTCCAAGGTCCAGAGATATACTTGTGCAGTCCTTGGAACTCTTAAAAGTTGTCCACATCTGGTCAAGAAATATACATTATGCCAAATTAAGGCCTAACCATTACCTTATGCAGGAGTTTGCATTGCTCTTGCTGTTCAGTATGACAGCTTCGCCATTGGAACTGCAGTCGGCCATTTAACCACTGCAAGTATCGGATATCTCTGCGGCTTTTCAAGTCACTTTCTAGAGCTATGTCTTTCCGCTTCTGCAGGCTATTCAGAAGACCATCACACTGTTAGGAGACAATAACAAAAATGCCTTTTTCACCAATAAACATATTTCCAGAACAGGTAACATAATATAAATTCAAACTTTTACAATTACACTTTGGGGGACATAAAATGTTTTCTAAAGGAATTCCATAAACCATTAATGTTCCCTTTAAATTCTGCAGAATGAGCTAGCTGGGACAGTGTCTCCTAATCATCATAATCATTATCAAAGTGCAGAGCTGGAAGGAACCCTATGGATCACTAAGCCCAGCACCTGTGGTTCTGAGGAAGAGACCTAAATCACTGAGCTACCTAGCAGCTCTTCAGGTCAGACCTTCTACATGAAAAAAGAAATAGCAAGGTGCTTACTTGCTAGAAGTATAAAACTAATGCTCAATACTACAAAGTATTTACTATGATTTTCTGCTCTTTCTGAACTATCACCTGCTGGCAAAATACATGGTGCAAAAGTCAACAAACTTCAATTCTCTTTGGTGATAAATTAATTACTCTCTTCTTCCTTAAAAAAAAATTCTGTTGGGTATAGAAGCTGGTGAGCTCTGTACTGCTAGATCTTTATATGCAGGTTTTTGGAAAAGTATCTTGCATCTTGTTTGGTAAAAAATGACTTTTTTTCCTTCTGAAATTCATGTATACATGTTTTAAAAAGCAAAGCAAATCCCAAAATTGGGGGGGGGACCTTTTAGTATAAAGTAGGAAGTTATAACTAAAGTTATATTCCCCAAAAGTAAGCCAGTTTAGACCAAAGATCAAACCCCCAAAACACAGCCACGCTTATCCACACTTAGCTTCCACCCCAAGTAAAAACTACAGCACAAACTCACTAACGGGCACATTACTAGCAGTCCAGAAGATATATTTTTCCATTGCAAAAATCAAAGAGTGGAGATCTTACTGAGGTATTTAGTTGGGGTGGAAGAAATAAGAAAGGTGCATCAATGTACCCATATTTGCTGGGGAGGGATGAGCTTAATTCCCTTATTTCTGGGATTACAGGTTTAATAAACTGAACATTTAATTTTCTTCAGGGAATTATACTTATTTGCTGTTTCTTAGCAAGCTTCCTCCCTTTTAGCCAGCTTCAAACTAAGTATCCCCATTTACTCCACAGAGAACAAACAAATCAGACTTCACTTACGCATCTCTCCTCTTTTTCCCCCACATTATCATCCACACCAAATCAAAGAAGAGAAGATAAAGGCAGAAGCACTGAAGAACACATTCAAGTCAGTCCTGTTGGCAAATAGAATGTTTGAGAAGTGTTTCACGAAAAGCCAAAACACCTCACCGTGCACACGATTGTTTCATCCCAAAGTTTCAGTCTATTTAGTGTCAGCAACTGTTCCATTAGACTAATTCTGCACAGAAACCAGGAAAATGCCAACAGCAGCTCTCCACTCCCCAATGAACCATCATGGGGAAGTTGATAAAACTCAAGTCTTCTGTAGCCATAGTTCAAGGCCACAGATTTGACAAATGTGACTTGGGCTCCTAAGTAGAAGATGAAACAAAAATGGTCACATTTCAATATTCAAAGACTTATGTTTGTGGAGAAAAAACATTAGTTATTATTTTCATAATCAACATTCCACACAAGGTTCAGTTTGAGAAAAAGGAAAACCTAGAGCTCAGAATCACTATGTGTACTTACAAATATCTACACCAAAGTTTCGGGGAGATTATAAAAACTGTCAGTACTGGAAACCAAAATACACTGGTTAATTAAGAGGTAAAGATCAATCATCAAAAATCATTTCTCAATGAACTTAAAATAGTAACAGTATAATTTTACTAGCTATACTCAGTTCTAATAGTAAAATGGAACCACATGTTAAGAAAGAAGTCTCACGTTTATCCTTCCAACTTAGGTTTTCCATATTTTTGGGTGAAGACTTTCCAAAGAACAGAAATAGTTTACTGTACCTGAGCACGGCCTGATACACTTGCTACATAGTATGAATGCAATTTTTTTTGCCTTATGAGTAAAGCATGCTGCAAAAACAGGTCAGCAGGCACACACTGAGCACTTTTCTCAGCATGAATCTGCTTTCTGAGGGGGCCCAATTAAACTACGATCGCTATACACTGCTGTGCTTTACGTGTCATTATCCAAAGTATTGCTTATAATTAAAATGTAGCCAATCTGCAATATCATTGAGCTCCTCAAATGTGTACTTTTTGAATGATACTCATGGTAATCTGACCCACTAAAAGGTCACAGCTGTTCCCAAAAATAATATCCCAAGGAAAACAGAAAGGAAGCACACAATCTCGATTGGCCCTACACAACTCCAAATAAGCTTGCATAATAAGATTCCAGAACCTACAGCAAGCAGGCAAGACACTAATGAAACTGTACACATTAGTGCAATGAAAATAATCCCAAATGTTCAAGTTAACTGAAGAGAGGTTAAGAAAAATGGAGAGCAAGACCAAGATGGAAACCTGGAATACTAAACCAACAATCCTACAACCTGAAGAATAAGCTCAGCTGTGTTTTGCAGGAAGCTTACTCTATATTCCTAGCAGGTGGCCACTGATCAGGCTTATTTTCACAGCCTTACGCAGCAGGGGGAACTCCCCATCATACCTCCCAGCTTGCCAGATCCCATATCTAGTCAGAGTAAACTGAGAAGAAATCCCCATTATATTAAACCAACGATCAGAGATAACAGTTGGGATTATCATTGCTTCACTCCCCACCCCTCACTTTCACAATGAGAAATGGTTCAAAGGTACAGTGGTGCCTCGACTTACGAACGTCCCTACTCACGACCATTTCAAGTTATGACCAGCTTCGGCTGCAAAATTTTGCTTCGACTTGCAGCCGGAGCTTCCAGTTACGATCAGAAAAGGGCAGGGAATTCAAATTGCTAACTGTTGGTGGCAAAGAGGCTGCTTCTTTGTAGCTCTTTCGCCCCAACATTTAGAGCAGGCTTGTCCAACCTGCGGCCCGAGGCCCGCATGCGGCCCAGGTCAGCTCGCAATGCGGCCCAGTGCAATTTTTTATTTTTAAAGAAATTCCAAAGTTTCAAGTTACACTGCCAGCGCTTGTGGCCGGAATGTGGCTGGGGCATGTCACAACAGTAGAGGGGGAGAAAGGGAAGGAAGGAAGGAGTGGGAGGGTAAGGGACAGGGGGGCTGCGTGACTACATTGTGTCGTCCCCGTCAATAGGTGGACCGCCTCCCGGCCCCATAAAGCCACCGGAGTCGAAGCTGGCAGCCTCTGCTGTCTGAGATTGCAGCTGTTGGTAAGTGCGCTTGGAGCGGGGCTGTGGAGGACGGCTAGGGCCGCCCCCCCATGCGGCCCAAACCAAATGTATGTGAGGCCCAAACCAAATTTTCATCTTCTAATGTGGCCCAGGGAAGGTGAAAGGTTGGACACCCCTGATTTAGAGTGAGTGCAATCGGAGGAGGCTTTGGACTGCCTGATAAGATGCTGCTTTTTGCTTTTTAAAAACTGTTCTGGGTGGGTTTAGACTGGAGGGGGGTTATGTTTCTGTGCTGTGTTGTTTTGTTTTTTGGTAATTTTTTGCAGCTCCAGCACCTTCAGGGCTTGCTCCATTTATTTTTGAGTTGCTTTTAATTTAATGACCCAGCGCCTTCGGGGCTTGCTCTCTTTATTTTTGGGTTTTTTTCTTTAAGCCCTAGCACCTTTCGGGCTTGCTGTTTGTTTGTTTGTTTGTTTGTTTTGCAGCCTCAGCATGTTCCTATGCGGCTTGCAGCATTTTATTAATATTTTATTTTTGGGGGTATTTTTTTCCTTCTGGAATGGATTAATCGCGTTCCAATGCATTTCAATGGGAAATTGTGCTTTGACTTACGACCATTTCGAGTTACATCCATCTTCTGGAATGGATTATGGTCGTAAGTCAAGGCACCACTGTACGTAAGAAAAACCCTGAGTCACAGGACCTATAGTAACCATGCACTTTCAAGAAGTTGCTCTAACTTCAAGATGTACAGCTCAATGGGTGCTTTGTCCATGCCGCAGATGATACAACATGGGCAAAGCCAGGTCATGACTAAGCTACAATGCTAAGGGAGCCTCCCAATGCTGCAGAGTTCAGTTGGGCCTTCACCTATGCCCTCCCTATCAGGGAAAGGTGCAGTGCAGGCAAAGTTGCTCCAATGGAATTAATCTAGAACACTGATATCAGGGTGTCCATGTACAACCCAGTAAAGTTCTCCGCCCCAGTATACAAGTAAATATGTAAAAGAATGGGTTTTTTCTTATCAATCTGCCCATGTAACAAGACCATCTTCACCGACCCTCCTCAGCATGTCACTCACTGAGGACAAGACTTTCTTTGCTGTAGCACTGTGCCTCGGGAATAGCCTCCCCTGGGGTGTTAATGCCTACCTGATGACAAGCAATGGCATTTTAACTTTCCTAGACCCTTTAAGGGACGTGGTGGCGCTGTGGGCTAAACCGCAGAAGCCTGTGCTGCAGGGTCAGAAGACCAAGCAGTCGTAAGATCGAATCCACGCGACGGAGTGAGCGCCCGTTGCTTGTCCCAGCTCCCGCCAACCTAGCGGTTCGAAAGCATGCAAATGCGAGTAGATAAATAGGTACCATCTCGGTGGGAAGGGAAACAGCGTTCCGTGTCTAAATCACAATGGCCATGTGACCACGGAAAGATTGTCTTCGGACAAACGCTGGCTCTATGGCTTGAAGAGCGGGATGAGTGCCGCCCCCTAGAGTCGGACACGACTGGACAAAAATTGTCAAGGGGAACCTTTACCTTTACCTTTAGAACCTTTAAGAGCAAACAAATCTTTTTTCTATGAAACACTAATTAAATATAAAACAAATAGATAACTACATGCATTGTGCACAAGGATACATCTAGCATATCTCTCTCATCCCTAAACAATGTATGCTCTCAAATAATCAGTAGTTTGCTACCTGTATCAGGAGACTCCATCCATCCTTCACCATGGATTTGCTTCAGAAGAATGTATAGTAATTTCCAAAACGTAACACTCTGTTTAAAACAGATGAAATTCAGAACATGTTATACTTTTTACTGTTTTGATTCCCATCCCACCCCATCCTAGTACAGGTAGTCTGTATTAACTATAATGGTAACCTCTGCTCTGTGCCGTTACAGTTCGACTGATGCTGCTGCTCCTACACTGAGGGGGCACCTCCCTAGTCACAGCTCAGCCACAAGACCCTTGACAGCTCTAGACTGCAATGCACACTGCAAATGGTGAACAAGGACCCCCCCCCTTTCCAGGAAAGGCACAAGGTGGCTTCCTATTCGCTCAGAGCACCCACACACACAGTGCCAACTGTCCTGACAAGCTTTTGACCCTCCACTTTCGAAATACAACTCCCACAGTCTTTTATCATTGGCAATACAGGCTGGGAACTCTTTTGAGTTGTAGTCCAAAAAAAAAAATCTAGGGTGCCAAAGATTCGCCAGCTCAGCTGCCTCACTTCAAGAGGAGCGGCTAAGCCCTCCGTCCTTCTCCCTCAGGCTGCAGCCACTGCCATGCCTGGTGGTCCCTTTTACTCCTCTTTACCGTTTGCCTCCTTTCGCTCCCGGAGAGGGCATCGTTGCAAAGGGCAGGGGACCAGTCGGGCTTAGCACGGATCACGGGAGGGCGAGAAAGAGGCCGACGGAGCCTCTCTCCCCACCCCAGCAGCGGGAAAGACCCCGCACCCCGCCATAAGCTTCCCCCTGAACGTGCCCCGCAGGACTGGGAAGGGGAGATGCTGTGGGGGGGGGGAGGCTGGAAAAAGCGCCGGATTCGCACCGCGGGCTCTCCCGCGCTGGGAACTTTCTTGAACAAACCCTGCTTGGTGCCCTCGAGGCCCTTGCCCTGCCCGGACTCAACCTCAGGGCAGGGTGCACGTGTCTAAACGGTTTTAATGCTCCCGAAAAGGGGTGGGAAACGCTACGATCAGGATGAGAGCGCTCCTGAGCATGTCCAAAGGGCATTTCCGCAGGAAGAAGGTTCTCTCTTTTCCCCCCCTTCTTCCTCCACCCACCGCCTGGGGCCGGCCGAACTTGGCGAGGCGGAAAATCTCCGGAGGAACACGGGGGCCAGGAAGGCTCAGGCTCAGCGCCCCAATAGCGGCGGGGAGAGAGGACGCCCCCGGTCGCCGGTCGCCCGTTCCCAACATGGCGGCTGCTCTTCTCCCGCCTTCCCGTTCGAACGCCGAGGGAAGGCGACGCGTCGCGCAGCAACCACGCCCCGCCTCCGTGGTCCTCCCAAGGGCGTTTTGGACCGCTTCCACCGTAGAGCTATGAAAAGTGGAGAGGCGCAGCCCTTCGTCGTATCTGCCCTCCACTTCCTGCTTTGGGAATTCCGTCTCCTTTGGCGGAAACGGGAGTTGCCAATACAAGTCAGCCGGAAAAACAGAAATGTTAGGAAAGCCTCCGCAGGCATTATCCGGCTCCTTTCCCCATAACCAATTCCTACTCTTTTTTTCACTCGGGGTTCATCTCATGTGAGATTGTTTAGTTTTGGGGGTGGGGGATTGAAAACGCCCTACCCATTTCAATTCTAATATGGCCTGTTGTTCATAGTTTAGGATGGCGCTGAGCTGGTGTGTACAAACCCTACAGTAGGTTCCTTTGAATGCAGTACTTGATGCTAGGAGTCAAGCTAAGGCTCAACAAAATGTTTTCTGTAACGTGTCTCCCCCAATATATTTCTGCAGTGGTGTACCACGTTCCTGTCCCTATGATGCTAGCCGGAGTTGGGTGGATGATAAGACAAACTGCATTGGGGTTTACTGTGAATGTTGATGCTTCTGGGGTATTCCGAGCTGTTCCAGATACACGGGGGGGGGGGATTCCCCTTCAAATCAGTGTGTGCAGGTTATGGCAAATGTCAGGTTTTATTTTAATTGACTGATTGATTGGTCTGCTATGTTTGCACCTAACAGTGCAAGCCATTATTCTGGGCTGTGAATAATTCGTTTTCCTCCCAGAACAATTTTTATTAACCCCCCCAGCAAAATAAAGTATTATATGCTCCTATCTCATGTTTCACTGATTCAGGTGCAAAAGCTTGCAATCCTATGCAGATTTACTGGAAAACAAGATTTGTTTAAGGATGAACCAGAGTACCATGCATTGTTAAATACTCAGCAAGGCAAACAATAATAATTAATGTTTTGCATAGCAAAACTGGTGAATTAGGAAAACAAACATGCTTCTTTCCTGTCATGTTTTGTTTCTGAGTCGTTAAGTTGGTGCCCTGTCAAAACAATGCTTGCATTCTTGATTCCTGCATTGAAAAGCAATGCTTGCTTACTCTCAAGATGGGTGTATGTCTGCTGAAACCCCAGATTCAAGGTTATGTGCCAAGGGAGAGCAACCTCTTGTGGTTTGCAGGAATACAGGTACAGTATGTGGATTTTTCCAAAATGGGAAAAGAAGTGTAGAAGGGAGAATTTACTGGATGGGAACTGATTTGAACATGAAACATCATCGTAAGTAAAAATAACCATGATTATTATGGTTGTTGTGGGTTTTTCGGGCTCTTTGGCCGTGTTCTGAAGGTTGTTCTTCCTGATGTTTTGCCAGTCTCTGTGGCCGCCATCTTCAGAGGACTGGAGTAGGAACTCTGTCCATGAAGATACTGGCCACAGAGACTGGCGAAATGTCAGGAAGAACAACCTTCAGAACACGGCCAAAGAGCCCGAAAAACCCACAACAACGATCCTGGCCGTGAAAGCCTTTGCAAATACAACCATGATTATGTCCAACTTCTAGGAAGAGACTAAGAAATAGGAATTCCCAAAGCAGCTGGTGTATTAATTTGTTGCAGCAAAACACACCAATGAGTCCTGTGGAACCTCTGCAACACTATTTCAGGTCCGCATATCAGATGTGGTGCTGTAAAATTCACTCACTCTCTTATGATTTATGGTTCACTCACTCTCCAGATTTATGGTTTGCTACTTAAATGCAGCCTCTCTATAGTGAACCAGTGAAAAGAATAACAACCAAATCCATTTTTAAAATGTCCTTTATGTTTCCTTTGAAATCAGTGGCCTTTTCGCTATAACAGAAACCCATAGATGAGTTTGGCAGAGAAGAATAATTAGAAACAAGTATGTGGAGGAGTTATTTGCTAGCCAAAATTCTTGCCCTCCATAGCAACCCTCTTCTTTTATTTATTTATTTATTTTTTTGGAAAAAGGACACTGGCAATAGTGTCTGTTAGAACAGAAACTTCAAAACAATAAAAAGAAAACTAAGGGAAGGCAAGACAGGAACAGCAGAAGAGAACAGGTGCTTCCACATCTTATAGGAACCATAATGAGAAACAAAGGACGGGAAAATAAATAGAAATCCAGCAGCTCCAGCATCCAGAGTGCACCAATGAAATGCAGTGGTATGAAGGTACTTTTCTCTAAATCTGCAGTACCTGCAGCCTGGCTGTTAAAAGGTGTAAAACTCCCCTTGGCTGGGAAAGAGCCAACCAGCCAGGCTCAACAGAAATGGTAAAGAGTTTATTACCCCACATTGGGAAACAAGACACCTTCTTCCTCATATCAGTGTGCCAAGAGCTCAGGAGGGAAAAAGATATCTAGCTGTAGTAAAACATAAGAGTCTCAAACTTCTTAGCCTTCCTCTTTTAGGCCCTGGGAAACAGAACTGAAAAATCAGCTTTTGATATGCCAAACTAATTGCCCGATTAGGGTGAAGATGCATGCTAGTATACTGTCCTTTTTTCACAGAAAGTATTTATAATAACAGAGAAAGAAGGTTGCATGATTAATGCTCTTTGACATAGAACATTCCTGATGTGACCAAGAAGGAAACTTTTAAACTAACAGATCTTATCAAGAAAGGTTTTTATTTATGTGTAATATAAAAATGGCATCTTTGAAAGAATTCTTGAGGAGCCACAGATTACGTATATGGTGTCTAGTCACAGCGGACCCAGCCAAGGTGATGGAAAGCTGAGTGTACAGTGGTCCCTGCCAAACCAAGGAGTGCGAGTGAACCAAGGAATCCCCGGCTTCGCTTCTGGGGATCTGTAAGGCAAAGGCACAATGATCACATGATTTGCTACTGGCCTAAATGGCAAAATGAACTGCCTTATTTGCAAAAAGACCATCTTTTTTCTGATATTGAACAAGAGTCTCTAGAAATACCACACGCAGCTAGTGTCATATCTGAAGGATAGATGTACAACCCATAATATAAAACCTCAGGCATTTCCAATCTACTTACAGTAAGACGGAACAAAATTCTCGTTGCCTTTTTTCCCATATAGTTCTCACAAATTAATTTACAATTTTAGTATGTTTTGTTCTGTATATAGCTTTGGTTTCCCTTTCTCATGGCCCATGGTACCACTATCACAGAACAACTATTACTCAAGGCCTTCAGTAGCCAAGTACATAGATAATTTCTATTTCATTAGCATTGATCACAGGATTGCCCTTCTCACACTTCACATAAAGCACAAAAGTGAAGTGTTTCTACTCCTAACTTGATGCTAACTAGGAAGCTGGATTAGTTTCTCCTAATCAATCAGCGTCTGGCTATTGAAACAGCTTTCACTGGTATTCCAGAGAACATATTTCTTGTGGAAGTGAAATGAAAGTTAAGTGCCTAACACAACTGAGATTGGGTGCTGGAAACATTTAACTTATATTCACAAAAAGCCTCCCCTCTCCCCTTTTAGGTTCTAAGACTCCATCAGGGGTCCTTTCTGACCTGGGGAAGCCTTTGAGAGCTTTTGGGCTGGGAAGAAGCTTTAAATGTTTTGTTTTTTAAAAAATCACCACTGGATTGGCAATGATGGTCCCAATCTCAATGGCAGTGATCCAGTGGTGATTTTTTTACTTTAAAAGGCTTCCCTATCCTGTCTTGAGGCTCTCAAAGGCTTCCCCAGAACAAAGAGGAACCCAGTGAAGCCTTAGGATGTAAATCAGGGGGATAGGAAGCTTTTAGTTAACATACATTAAATGTTTCGGGCACCTGATTCAAGTTGCACTGGCCCCCAAACATCTTCCCATAATTTTCTACCCTATTCAAGAGGAGAGCATGGGACAGAACAGGTCTCTTGACTCCAAATGCATTCTTTACATAACCCACACTGTCTTTGCATGCTGTGCAGAAGCAAGGAGGATCAAGATGTAGAATGCAGAGCAGATCCAGCTTTGCCCCAAAAGAATGGACTGCATTGTTCAGTCCAAATACTCACTCCCTGTGTAATAGCCATAGGCATATAGCAATCTTCCTATGATCCACGCTATGCCAAGTCCTGTAGCAGCACGCTAGGAAGAAAACAGAGAATTAGTACACACTGAGAGCACAGGAACTTATATAAACAGGTGAACGTACAGAGGAGAAGACAAGTTCCTGCAGGATCTATTCCTCCGTTTGTGAGAGAGTGTCCAAATATATGACCCATGGCCCATTAGATCAAACATTAAGGCAAGTTCACAAAATTCTTCACTTTGATTTATTTGGCACTAGGACCTGGGCAGGCAGTTTCAGTAGATTCAAGGGGAAATTTGCTCTCCACTCACCACTAGCATTTCCAAATCCTTACTGTAATGCTATGTCTATAGTGAAGGTTCTGTAATAATGTGCTTCATTTAAGTCACTGCTTCCTGCAGGTGGAGATTATATATGTGGTATATATTACACACAGGGAAGATTATACTCCACATGAAGACAACTGACTTTTAGGAGCCAGAGGACACAAACCCCAAAACTGATGTATTTGGGGCACAAATAATTTTTTTCAGACTTTTGCAATCCCGTGTTACAAATGGGAATTACTATGAAAGTCAGCTCCACAAAAAGCAGACAGGAGCAGGCAACTGAAGGCCACAGGCTGTATGACAACATCCTGATTCTGAATGACAGCAAACACTCTTGGGCCAAACAATAAACAACAACTCCCACTGAAAAAGAAGCAAATTAAGAAACAAGAACACTACTTACCGGGTGGTAAATTCCACTTATTCCAAGAAAGAACAAAAAGGGGGGATACACTTCCAGCCTGAAAATATAAACAAAAATGGTGGGTGTTTTTATTTTTAAACTTAAAAGTGTGCACCTAAAGCCCTCTCCCCCACCCCACCCCATATGGTACACAATGATGCTGAGATCTGAGTTAGTACACTTGTCATAACTTATCCCAACAAAGGGAAATCTCCATCTGTCCGTGGATAACTTAGAATAATCCCATTCTGTACAGATAAAATAAACCCATATAAACCTACTAGGACATTGTGAGTGCACAAGCAAACTTCTGAATCTAGTAAAGAACTACAGTTTTGCCTCGTAATGTCCTTCATAATGTGCTCCTGATGGCATTCTCCTGCCCCACAGAAAAGGTAGTGCAGGGCAAAGTAATATGGATTAGCATGAAAGATACAAAAGGATAACCAGTGGGGAAGCACACAGTCAATATACGAGGTGCCCAAAGACAGCACTTCAGATTTATGCTAAATATATCTTGTTTCCTCCTAAACTCTCAAAGGAAACTTTGGTGGAATCTTTGTCATTCCAAAAGGGGATGATTCCCCTAGGAGTCTGCAGCCTTTACTGACTTAAACATGAGCCTAGCACAGTGCAACTGCTACAGCTCCTATGCCCCTTCAGTCTGTCCATGCACAGCCATGTTGAACTATAGTGTTGCCTCACTTAGCGATGTTAATCCGTGCAGCAAAAATCGCTGCTAACCGAAAACATCGCTAAGCGATCTTAAAAAGCCCATAGAAACACATTAAAACCTGTTTAATGCATTCCCATGGGCTTGAAAACTAACCTTAAGCGAAAATCGTCCGTTGCGGCGGCCATTTTCGGTGTCTCTAAAGTGAGGCAACACAGCAGGCGGCCATTTTGGAACCGCCGATCAGCTGTTAAAAAATCATCACTTTGCAATGATCGGTAAGCGAAACAGGGTACCGATCATCACAAAGCGATTTTTCCCCATAGGGAACACCGCAAAGCGATCGCAAAAACATTGTTGGTATGCGGTTTCGTTGCTAAATGGAGTGCCCGTTAAGCAAGGCACCACTGTATTTGGCACTGGTAGTCTCCTATAGCAACCTGCTCCCTGTATTCTCCAACAGTGAAATTTCAACAGTCCAAAGTTCAGCACAGCAATTTAGATATACATTTTCTTAAGTGTTTTATTATGCCTTCAGCTCTGCAGCAGGTATCTTTGGAGAAAACATTAACTACTGCATTAAAACTGATATTCAACATGCCAAACTTTCCAAACTCCTCTCTAAAGCACAAAGTAGCACATATGTCATTCATGTGCATTCTGAATCCTGAGCACTTGAAAAAACAATAAACTCAATGCGAAGGGCTACTCACGTGTTTTGATGTGCTCTCTGGATACAGTTGAAAATGTGGCCATTTTCTGGATCTGTACTGTACATGTTTGGGTACTGTTGAGGGAGGCAGGGGTAGGAAAAAGTTTAATTTAGTAAACATCCACACATCATCAACAGGTGACAGAGCTGAGGGAGACTAAAGAATAATGTAGTGTTCACAGCAGTAAATGCATGTTTCCCTCATGAATACACAGATGGAAGCTAAGCACAGCAGAGTTGGAAGTGGTTTATATACTATGCATAGATTTTGTTATGTTAAATACTTACTTACATTATATACTAAGCACTTAAGCAAACTTCTGTTATGAAACACCTTCCATGTTGAAGTCTCTCAGCAAACTTGCAGAATTTTAAATTTGAATGCCTGGCATAAACCTGTTTTTGGAGTAGCCATTTGCCTGTAGGGCCCAATTCAGATGGTTGAGTTCAGTGCTGAGAAACTGAGCTTCACAGTTCCGATTTGCATGGCCTACCTGTGTTTTGATCATGACTCTTTTTTTGCTGTGGGTGGTGGCTGGCGGCTGGCGTTTTTGTGTAGGTACCGGCCTGTGTGGGTGGGTTTTCTGTAGACCTTGTGTCCCAATAGGAGGTCAGTTTTGCGTAGGACCATGACAGCTAAGAACGGGAGTTGCCCCTCTATTTCTTTTTCCATGGTGAATTGTATATTTGGGTGGATGCAGTTGAGATGGTTCAGAAATTCTTCCAATTTTTCTTCACCATGGCTCCAAATTGCGAAGGTGTCATCCACATATCAGAACCAGACTGTGGGTGCGAGGGGTGCCGAAGCCAGGGCAAGTTTTTCAAAATGCTCCATGTAGAAGTTTGCTATAAGCGGGCTGAGGGGGCTTCCCATGGCCACTCCATCTGTCTGTTCCCTTTTCCAACACTGCCTAACGACCAGCTATTTTCCGTGGTATAATGAATTCTACGAACAGTCACTTTGGGAATGAAGTTGTTTAATTATTTTGAATTGGTGTCTTAATTTTTCCATTACAACAATATGCTATATTCTGTTTTTCCATTCATGTAAAGATAAATTACAAGTGCCCTTCCAGTTTGTGACAATGTCCAAATGTGCTGCCATACAGAAACGACTCTCTTGATATGAGAGTTGATTTCTCTTTATGTTTAGAAAGGGTATTCCAACTACAAATAAGTACTGTACGGTGCTCACAAGAGGTTTTTAATAGTTAGGTCAAAGTGGACTAAATGATGAGTTTATATTAAGAAGTCAGATTTCTGCAACAGATACATGTGTGGAGTCTTGTAGGTTAATTCTGTGCTGCCTTCTAATGACCAATCATAAACAACAACAAAAAATAATTTGCAGGATACTGATCAACATAAACCTTATCCTAGGACAAATAGACACATTTTAAGGGAGTACAGCTTCTGAAGGCAAGGCTGGCATCTCAGTGGAAACATTCAGAGATGTATGGTACAGAAGCTGAGGAGTATCAGCCAAGAGTCATGGGAAACAGAGTATAGTCAAGTCTTTTCACCCCTTTCTAAGCTGGCAAAAAATATGCCTACTGCCATGTTCCTGAGATGGGGTTACTTCGAAGGCCAGCCAGCAGAAGCTCACTAGAATGAAAAGCAGACCCAGATACAGGAGATATGAAATTAGTCCAAAACAGTCCCAAGTCAAGCCACTCCAAAGGTTGAACAAACAGAGAAAGTCCCAAAGCATAGCCAGGCAGTCTAAAAGGAAGAATAAGGATTTGACAGCAAACTCAAGGTTCAAGGCAAGGAGAATCAGAAAATAGCAGATACATTGTCTTCCACAGTTTGCATTCCCAATTTAAGATTTTTTTTTTTAAAAAAAAATAGCTGGCCTGCTGAAGCCCCATCAGGCACTTGGCTGCAGTCTCTTTGGGAAGCTGAAATAAGAAGCCATTAGTCAGGTTTGGCTCATGGGTTTCCCAGGGAGGAACAGCATCTTCCAAATCAAACCACATACTGCTGAAGGGGCTTTGTATTTTGCCTTGGGGCTTCAAGCCAAGCCCATGTCTTCATCCTCTCATGCTTGTGTGGGCTTGTGGGGGGGGGCGTCCAACCTCCCCTGGTTTAGCTTCAGAGCTTCATTCACCTAAAGGTTCAGGTTCCTGGCCCACCAGAGGTCCTCTGCCATGTGAGGATTTGGCCTTTTGGATCTCAGGAAGTCCAGGAGCTACTCAATCACATAATCCCACATCTATGCTGGGTTCAAGAAGCTCAAGTTCTTCCTCATTTGACAGTCATTTAGTGGAAATCTCTGCTTATTTTTATACAACCATTTCAGTTTAAATTAGTATTATTTTAATTTATTTCTGTAATTTATACCCTCATTTTAAAAATGAGTTCAGGGTAGTATACATGGCACTCCCCCCCCTCCACTTTCTTCCTCACAACAACAGTTCCGTGTTGTCCAGGTCAGGCTGGAAAAAGTATGACTGTACCAAAGTTATTCAGTGAATTTCACAGCTGCACAGGGATTTCAACTCCTGGGTCCTAGTTTAACACCACAACTACTGTGCCACACTAACTGTTAATGGAAAAGAGATCCATTATATAAAGAAGTCATAAGTAGGGTTGTGCTCTTTTGGTTTCCTGAACTCTTACTCTCCAAATCCTACAAGAATTCCCCAGGCAGAACTCTTGGTAGTTTCAGCCCATAAACACATAGCTATAGACACCCACATTTCACTCACCTGGAGATGAGCCTACCTCTGAGGCTCCATGGCTTTCTCCAGCCTTGCTTCCTGAGGTGAATGTAAGAAAAGGGGGCAAGGGAGCTGCAGTGGGGTTTCCTGGAAGTCATGGTATCTCTGTCCATTATGTTCTATAAACAAATATCTCCCCTCAAAATTACAACTCCTAAGAACCACTGTAGCTACTTCAATTTTATTTAAATATGAACAACAGGAAACAAGGCTGGAGAAGGCCATACAGCTTCAGAGGCAGGCCCTTCTGCAGAATGGAGTGAAATGTAGGTATCTGTAGGTGTGATGTTTGTGGGCTGGAAGTCCCAGAATTCTGCCTGCAGAATTCTTGGAGAATTATAGTTGGAGTCCAAAAAAATGAAAGCACACAACCTACTCAAAAGTAGGTAGGAGAATAGGGGCCTTGAAATTGACCATTAAATATTTGTATTGGGACAGCAGACAGAAGACATTGGTCTTTAACTTTCCCACTGTAATGAGTTACTGTACTTCAAGTAATGACAATAACTATATCTATATGCATAATATATTATACTGTAAGTTTATTGGCTTTATATCTTGACTTTCAACAATAATTGAGATTCAAAAGGACTTTTCACACACATACACACCCTTTTTTCCCTGAGTGATTTTCTTTTTTGGCACTATATAACTGAGCACACTTCTAGCTCCATCTGAGTGTAGTTAAGACCATTAAAAAGGCTTCTGACTCACCAATGTTAAGCAGACACACCCTTTAGCCCTTTTCCAAACTATTACAAAAGTCTTCCAACAACAGATGAAAAGGGCATGTGCTTTTTTTTTAAAACCACTTCATTTTGTTTTCCACAAGATTTCTGGGAGCAAAAAAATCTCCAGAAACCAGCTCATGGTCTCCTAAGGCAAGCTTCATCCACTCAAAAGATACACACAGTGTTCTAGTAGCTGAAGGATGTATAAGCACAGGCAGGATTAACATCCATCCTAGGCAACTATGTTTCTACTAACAGAGACACAGTTCTAGTAGCTGAAGGATATACAGTATAAGCACAGGCAGGATTAACATCTATCCTAGGCAACTATGTTTCTACTAACAGAAACATTTATAGAGCACTATCAGGGATGGTCTTTTACAAATTCTGATTCATTCTCCAAATCTTCAACTACAGGCCCCATAACTCTTTCAAAGTTTTTGTAGGGGCTGCTATTTAGAAGTGATTGAATGGTAGTCTGCTCATGTTTAGTAATACTCTTTTGCAGGCAATTTTAAACAAAACACACATCTGCTGTAACTTCTTTCTTCAGTGCAGAATCCAAAGGAAGAAAGAAGAATCCTAGCATTTACTCAAATTGTGAAAGAGGAAACAAGGTATGCAGAAAGTATGATCCAGTGGGAACATAAGAAGTTGCTTCTTTGCTCATGCAAAGTACATCTCTTTCTCAGCCAGAAGACTTCAACCTTCTGGACTTGAGAGCCCCAGCACAACCCTCTGGCAACTTCTACACAATTCTGGCTGCTTTGCTGAGTAAAAAGTAAACAGTTCCAAGATATCTTTATGAATTGCAGGCTAGATGTTGTTAAAATCATTGATGTCTCTCTCTGCGTGATTCTTTTTAATCTGTAGTTTCTACTCTAAAAATAACCACTAAATGAGGGAATTTTCAGAAGATACATAATTTTCTGCTTACCTCCACACGGTATTTCTTGCGTGCTTTCCCCACATTTATTGCTAGGTGCATTACCAAGACAAAACTAGCAGCACCAGTGAGGATCACATAACCGTACTCCTTAGAGAGAACCACCATTTTGGCACTGTGGAGAAAACAAAAGGGATAAGTCAGTCATAGCAGGGTAGAAGACCAACCCTCCCCCAGACAAATGGGTTGCACCCTTCTCACTGGTATCAAGAGAGATATAAAGGTCAAAGTCCCAATCATGCCACCCAAAGATAATAAAGAGGTTAACAGTATCTCACAGTTCTCTGGTTAAGCTCCCCTTCTTACAGCCACTAAGATACAATGCCCTTGCACATCCTGGAAGTTTAACTGGAACTGTATCACTCCCCTCCCCCCACCTGCCTAAGTCTTCAGAGAGTTTAACACATAAACAACATTCCCAAGGATGGGCACTGAGAACTAGTGCACCAACTTTCAAAGGTAGCTGCCACTACTCTCATACACAAACACTGCAAAAACAAACAAAATAAATTGAGTAGCTGGCAAAGCAAGGAGTGGTTTTAGTACTGCAAACACTCTCAGTTCAAAATCCAGACAGCTGTGTGAAAAGATTTTGTAGTTTATTAGAAAGAAAGAAAAAAAATTCAAAAGGGTAAAAGTTCCAAATGGTTACAAGAACAAATTGCAGGCCGAGTTTCATGCGTTTGGGAAGAAAACATACCAGAAAATAATTAAAGCTAATCTATTCTATATATTACTCATACTTCAGCAGAAAGATAGCATAATTCTGGGGCATACACAGAATATATCCTCTAGCACAGTTTCATTGGATAGCAAACAAATCCAGGTTCTCCAACAAGTCAGGCTGAGTCCTTGAGCAGCCTCAGAGACAAGCCAAGTTATGGAACTCATTTCTCTAATCCCTTTTGTACAAGTAAATGTGCTGTTTACACATCTGTTGCTAATCACATCTTAAGGCCATTTCATGTTCTGTAAGGACAAAAGGCAGCTTCCTGACCTGCTCGGATTCACACTGTCAAATCTGTATAAATCTCTGGGAAGCAATCAGGTTGACTTCAAGGGCTACATGTAAGGCATTAGAATCCTTGTGGGGTGACTTCTCTGATGAAGATAAGCAAGATAGCTTTCCTTGTTCGTTCCCTTATTTGAAGTGTTCAATAGCAGAAGATGAGTTGAAGGTGTGAACTTCCTGTTTGCACACTGATCTTTGCCTGTGAAGTCAGCTTCCCAGGTTCACAGAAGCATAGAAGAGTCCAGCAACTGAATTTCATATTTCATACATCCCATTCTCAGTCTCTTCACACAATTAGTACAAAATAGTTGGGGAGGCTGATCGGTATAGTTTGTCAACTCATAAGCATGACCTGAGTGCCACCAATCCCACAATACAAGCCAAGTAAATAATTCCTAACTCTGAAATAGATGAAAACCTCTTGGAGAATGCCATCAAGGCAAAATTAAATAAATAAAATAGGACAGGGCATCCCTACACTTTCTGATCCTTCCTAATAAGACTTCTATATAGTCTTAAGAATAAGACTTCTATATACATCGTGCGTATATAGAAGGAGGGAAAAGAGAGCCAGTTGAATCACTCTAGAATATTTATGCAATACAAAGGTTGCCAACTTTAACTTATAATGCTGATATATCTTGGGCCATTTTGCTGACACTACCAGTCTGCAAAAAGAACCATTCTGTGGAAAATTGTGGGTTATTTCACAAATTTGCATAGCATGTCAAATCATGAACCCTGACTTATTCCATACGTTGGTATATACTGTCCAGCTCTTTCCTCTTACAGAAGGACTGAATAAACAAATCACTAAATTTCATTGCATGGTTTGTTCATCATGTTGGATGAATTCAAGCAACTACCCTTTTGTGGTCTGTGTGTCTTCCAGAAAATTACACAAAAATATTCAAGGCATGTTCTTAGTCTGCTTTTGGGATTTCTTTGGAGAGAAACAAAACAGAGAAGGGTAGCTCTTGGTGTTTCCACCATGCTTAGAGGGGTCTAAGGTGGCTACTAGAGATGGTGGTATTCGCATTTGAATATGAATATCCCCACACAGGTGGTGTTAACTAGGGTCTAGCCTCATGGGGCTGGACGGTCCATTTACCAATTGACCGTGGATGCGGACAGCGCAATTCTACCAATGGCTTCGCAGCGCGCGATCTGCTCGCCACTCTTCAACCTTGCAGTGAGGCTTGTCCTCCCACCTCCTGCCAGGAGTGGTGAATGGATCGTGCACTGCGGAGCTATTGGTAGAATCGCAGCATCCGTGTCAGATTGGTGAGTGGACTGTCGCTGCGGAGCTATTGGTAGAATCGCGGCATCCGTGTCAGATTGGTGAGTGGACTGTCCGGTCCCAGGTGGCTGGACCCTTGTTAACACCACCTGTGCTGGGATATTTGTATTCATATACAAATACCCCCCCCATCTCTATTGGCTGCTCTAATGGTTAAATGGGGCTTATAAAGAAATAGCAGACCAGTAAGGAATCAAGAATCTTTGAACACCACAGGGAGCCAGTGTTCCTTCTTTAAAATAAGGGAGTCTCCACAAAGGCTCTATGTAAGCAACCTCCATGTCAATGAGGTCTGATATGGGAGTGCAATCTACCTAAAAATGCTACTGAAGGAACTAGTGTAGTTGGAAATCTATCTGAATATGTTCAGAACACCAAGCAATGGTTTGTCCTTTCCTTTAAGAAACAAGGAATGATTCAATAAATTGCTAGTGCTTATTTTCTAGGATGGAGGCATAGTTCCAAATTACTGTTTCATTTTTATCTAGCATTCATTATGTTGCTCCCCTACATATGGTGACTAATCACAGGGTTTTCAAGGTAAGAAAAATTCAGCCGTGGTTTACATTTGCCACTTTCTGCACAGCACTAACAAAAGGTAGCTTTAGCGCCCCTGTCATTGCCTCCTCCACCAGTGTCACTTTTAGCTACTGCTTGTCACCCAGTAGCTGCATCACTGCTGAAACTCTCCATTCTCTTCTGCTGATGCAGCAGTTATCCTTGACGAAGGTGGGTGCATCTTTGCCAGGCGTCTCAGCTGTGAACATTTTGCCTTGGGTGACCCAGCTAGGAGTCCAGGCTCCTAATGGAGTCTGGCCTTCTGACGGCACTGCTTTCAACTTTAATGACACACTCAAACCCCTTTCACCACCTTAAAAAGGGGCTGCTGAGGAGAGGGCATTTTAGAGACAGCTTGTTCATAGGGTCGCCATAAGTCAGAGGTGACTTAATGGCATGTAACAACAACGTAAGATGTGTCTGCTACTTTGCTCTATCTTCACCAGAAGAGCATCCTAGAACCCCCTGGTCTTTGCTCTGTCTACAGCGGTGAAAATTCATCACATACCATGTGTACGTACATTGCTCTCTGGAAACAGCAATCACTGGCAGTGCAAGTAAATGCTGAAAATTCTAGCAACACTACCAGAGGAAATGCCCAAGTGTCAAGTACTGCAAAGGATGACATTGTAATTCACTGGGAGCTAAGCAGGCAGCGAGTGCAGGATCTACAAGTTCAAAGTACACATTCTCAGCTATATTGTAGCAATAAAGGAACCGTATTTTGCTTGCTAGCCAAATGTTCATGTGATTCAAAGTCCAAGCACAGAACTCTGCTTAAGAAAAGGAAGGCAATTTCCACTCATCAGGGGTTGATAAGGATTAAATATTTAACACATGCTTCAATCCTGCTTCCTTTTCACCTCCACTGTTGAGCTTTAACTATGACAAAACCATATATTCTCATTTTTCACAGCTGCATCCCCGTACGCCCCAAAACACCTTTTATATATGGTTCAAGAAGCATTGCTCAAAAAAAGAAAAAAAAGGAAGAAAGAAGAAAAAAAGAAGAGAGAGCAGAGTTCATAGAGGGATAAGCACAATTATTATAGCCTATGTTAGGCCATTATAAAATAGCTGAAGAGCTAATCAGAAGGCAATCCATGTGGAAGCAATTCCATAGTCACCCTATTGGTGTGAAAGAGCAACCAGATAATTCAAGAAGAATTTAACTACTAGCAAATTGCCATAAATAAGTTTTGCAGGCCTGTTTAAAATGAGGCAAACAATGCAGCTAATCTTGTACAGTAACATCTACTTTTGCCTTTTTACCAAAAGCAGATTATATGTGAATTGGGCTTTAATCTGCTAAGAGAGCTGTGGCACCTTAAAAGGTAAGACTAGTTCACACATTCGCTTATGGCCTCTAGTTGTTCAACTTGTTACCGTGAACCCGCGAAGATCCAGCAGAGTTAAAGTTTTCAGGTCCTGATGGCAAAATAACTCACGCAGACATGTTCAGCTTCCTCCAGCACAACACGTGTATTTACAGCATATACAAATATACAAAGCGGCAGCACGACAGCATGGGATCATCAAAGTGAAGGGTGGTGCATGATCTCTGTACAGTTCCTATATATACACTTGAGTATCTGCCCTTGCCCAACCAGAGCAGGTGTTGCATCATCCAAGGCACCAGCTCTCCAGAGTCACTGTGACTCAGCATTTTACACACCTTGATATCATGGCAGCTCATCAATGCTTCTGTTCTGTTCAGGCCTGTAAATTTTTAATACTGTGACACAACTGATCATATATCCCTAGTTACATAGAGGCCACAGTAAGAAAAACCAATGTGTAAAAATATGTTGCATATTTTGGTATATGTTGCACATTGCCATAATCCTGGAGAATGAATAGCACATACAGTGGTGCCTCGCATTACGATGTTAATTCGTTCCAGCGAAATCGCTGTAAAACAAAAATGTCGTAATGCGATTTTAAAAAGCCCATAGAAACGCATTAAAACCCGATTAATGCGTTCCTAGGGGCTTGAAACTGACAGTCCAGTGAAGACCCTCCATAGCACGGCCATTTTCGCTGCCTGTGCAGCGAGGAATCCATGCCAGAAAAGAGCGGGCGGCCATTTTGATTACCCGGTGGCCATTTTGAAACCGCCGATCAGCTGGCCGAAAATCATCGCTTTGTGATGCAGGAAGCAGGGAACCGATCATCGCAAAGCGAAATTCCCCCACAGGGAACATCGTTTTGCGATCGCAAAAACATCGATGTCTAGTGATTTCGTTGTCAAATTGAGTGCCCGTTAAGCGAGGCACCACTGTATCCTCAACAGCAGCTATTCTATTATATGACACAGGCATATTGAAGTCACAAATGGAACCAATGGCTGACTGAGTCTACCCTCCACATATGCTTCCCTGTGCTTTAGGCTGCCAGAGCACAATAACCCACTTGACCTTGCTACCTTGTCTACAAGCCTGTTTATCAGAATACTTAATCTGAATAAAACCTTAACCTCAGAATTTGTTTCTATTCATAAACAAACAAACTGATTTCTCTGTGCATCTGTGAAGATGCTTTAGAATCTGAGAAAAACCAAAACCACTGTGTGCTTTAAAAATAACTGTCATATTTCAATTTTTAAATAAACTAGTTTCCACGCATACATGTCTTCATTAGGCCGGCCACCACTATGTTGTGAATGGTGTGGAAAAAAATATAAACGTTCCAGATATCTGTGCCAGGTCTGTACCCTTTTAAATATTGTCTTAACAATCGAAGCTGCCTTGGGTCCTTTTTATTTTTAAGGAGAAAGGCAAGGTAAAAATATTTTAAATAAATAAATAAAAAATTTTAAGCCAAGAGCCTGGAGATACAATACAGGTTTTTCAAACTCCATCTCAATGGCTGCTGGTTGGTTTGCCTCACCAAACAAAGGATTGCCAGGTATTCAGCATCACTCCTCCTCCATGGCCTTATATTGAAACTCTGACTTCCTCCTTGTCCAGGGATTGGGGTTACACAGAAATGTGGCAACCCCCCTATCAGAGAATCAGGGATAAAATTTAGTTTACCTGCTAGATTAAGCCAACTGCAGCTGAATGAACACTGTTACCTAGTGACTGGAAAATGTTCAGTTTGCAGTTCTGCTTGGTGGATGGCAAATATTATATTTCCACGTGGATACAACCCACTTCTTCAGACATTTTGCCCCTGAGCAACCATGTCCATTCTACATATAAACCCAGGTAAACAGACATGGTATTCATGGCAAATTGTGCTCTGTCAGCCCTCCTTTTGTAAATCAAACACAAATCTGTCCTGAGGAAGTGGGCTCACCTGAGTGTCATTTGGGAAGTGAATCCAACCACCATCGTTTCCTTATAACAGGGACTCTTTTAAGTTTTAACATTCTTGTTTGTCCACTCCATATTGCTAACAGAAGGCAGTACAGAAAATACAAGTACAACCAACTTCCAAAGATCATGATGGCCCACTTTATAGGGATCTGGCTTATCTATCCTGCCTTCCATGCAGGCAGGCAGCTTTTTACTAGCCCAAAACAAAAGTCATTCACCTAAAATCTCCTTAGCGTCTCAAAGGTGCTTGCTGGCACTCAAGTTAACAGATCAGCAATCCTGGTTAAGACAATATCTGAAATTTTAGGGACACGCCTGGAACGTTTGCCAACATTTCTGCCAACCAACAGCTATTTGCTCCTTAAATAAATCAAACCCAGGATGGGTAAATCGCATAAATGGGGCGGGGGGTGGCAGCTACGTTTTTAAAAACCAGTACTACTCGTAGCTGGTTGTAAAGCTGTTAGAAAACGGAGGCCGCCTGTGTTCCGAAAGGAGGCTGCAAGGCGAGGGCCGACGCGCGCACCGCTTCCGAAGA